AAAGCTTCCAACGGTTCTGCGGGAATGATAATTGTCGATAAATTCTTTATTTCTTACAATTGCTTTAAGATGTTGCAGGACTTCTTTTAATTATTTTGTACTATTTGATTTTTCAGCAAAAGTGTGCTCCGAAAATGAATTTAGAAACTAATGATTTTTTTCCTAAACACACCTTGAGAAGTTTCAAAGCAATTGGAAAAATAAACTTGAGCACATAGCAGTACTCCTTTTATGAGGTGTGAAAATCTCTGCCAATAGCTGTAAAAACGAAATGAAATGTGTATTCGTGGAAAACAACAAATGGAACGGAAAACAACATTTGTAAATGTAACACAACTTTTGTTGACCTAATTCTGTTTTCGTAAACAAAACTGAATTTAAAAATAGAATAAATAACACCTTCACGCATGAGAAACCAACACTTAAACGCAATTCAGATATTATTCTAATGATGAGGCAACAAAAAATTGTTTACTTGATGCAACAAAATATGAATCTCAGTGTGAGTTTATAATATACAACTTAAAAGTAATAAATGATAGAATTTGTTAGAATTTTACATACTTGTATTAACAGACATTAAGTCTTTTAAGTATATACTGAAAGGGCAAGCAAATTAAAGAATATTGCCTTAGTTTCGGATTGTTTTTTTGGCTTAAAATTTTCATCTATATTTGAGATCTGAGTTGTTCTGTATGATAACTTTGAGATTTCAAACATGCTTCTGCCATTACAGGTGCGTCGTTAATCGAACCAAGAACATACTCAGAAACAAACTCACATTGTGGGATTTTCGCCAGCTTGTCGAACTATGGCAGGCCCTGTTAAAAAAAGGATATTTTTCATTTCCAGGAAATAGCTAAAGGCTTAATTCGTTATAATCTTAAGTGATACGATTGATATACGATTATTACACAAAGGAACTTCTCAATCCTTCAGACTTCTTTTTAGCTAATCTGTATCCATCTTTCCTCAATTAGTTTCATCAGAAATTGGTGTAACTTTTCTTCTACTCTTCTGACGTCTGATGTGTTTTCTCTTGCTGGCTGGCTATAAGTATCTTGTCGAAAAAGAAGCCATATAGAAATGAGTAAGATGCCGTTATTAAAGGGAAACAAATGTTCATTTTTTAACTTTACCAGAGCTGGTAACCCGGTACTTCAAGAAATTGCTACTCTTTGTAAAAAATTGAAGGCAATTTATTCTACTTGTAGATTACAAATATTTGTTCTTTTTTGAACAACAAATGCGTTTGTGAACTTTCAGTAGGATTTGCACGGAAGCAATGGTAAAATTGTTTGTTATTTGTCATAAATTTAAGAGTTTTTAGATTGGTTTTGTGTAGTTAGTCTTGTTTTAAATTGTTATAATTAATTCAACCTAGACATTAAGACTCGTAATCGTTTTATTTTTCATTTTTTTTGTGTGTCCAGGCCAACGATCTCCAGGGGGCATATATCTTGATAATTTATCATGAAACAGATTGTAGCAATAGCTGAGATATGTTAGACGATGTGGCTGAAAATCGTAGGACGTATGCACTATATACGAGTATATAATTTATGCAACTATGTTGGTTGGGGAGTGCGTGCCTAAAACAAAAACTACATACAATATGAGTATGTTGGAGACGCCCGCGCGGCTGCCTGAATTGCGATTGCCTGGGCGGCCGCCTCTTGGCCAACAAAATAGACGCAGCAGCAGCGTGTCTCTGTGTGTGTGTGTGTGCCCATCTCTATATGTGTTTTTGTGTTTGTATATAGCACGCCGACCGACAACGACTTACCCGATTGACGTCAGCAATGCCCCCAAAGAGCCGCACAGACACACACTGTTGCCGATGATGGTGATGGGCGGGTTGCCAAGCGACGAGAAGGGAAGTGGGCGGCCAGGCAGCCGCACAGTCATTTTGGCAGTCAGTCATACAATGTGAGGCTGTGCCATCCGACAAACAAACAAACACACACACATACATACATAGTGTGTGTGTGTGTTGTTGTTGTTGTCGCCGCCAACAAAAAATTGTTCATGCAAGTCAAACTCCTGCGAAACAATGTCTCTAATGTTGTAGTTGTTGTTTTTGTTGTTGTGTTGCATTTCACAATTCTTCTTTTTCGGCCAAATGTTGTTTTTGTTTATTGGCTGGCCAGCCCAACAAGTTGCTGGCCAACGGGGCGTATGCTTATTTTTTATGCGGAAACTTTGCGGCGCCGCTGGCTCTCGACAGCTGCTGCTGCTGCTGTTTGTTTAATTTTAGCCACAAATGCACCGCGACTACTGACCCTTTTTAAAAGCAGCAACAACTGCCGAAGCCTCGGAAGCCACAGAGGTGGTCGCTTTTATTTTTGGCTCGCCAAGTATTGCCAAGAAAAGTGCAAAAAAAAAAACAAATTGAAATTTGAATTTGAATATGCGGCCAAGCGCAAAGAATGAAAGAAAAAGTGAAAGTTTTTGATTTATGAATGCACGCAGTTTCTTTTTGTATGTCAGTTGATGGTTTTGGTTTTTAATGTTTGCTAATTAGTTAGCTTGATTTACTTTAGTTTCAGTTCCAAGGGGGGGTGGTTGGCTGCCTGGCAGTCTAACAGTCTGGCTTCGAGCCAAAACGATTCTGGAACGGCAACAAAAGTAATGGTCGAGACACAAAACTTGAGTGCCCAATAAGACAATAATTCTGTGGCCCACACATCACACCTATAATGTGAGAATACTTAAGTATGGCATACAGGATGCAACAAAATCACCGCAACACATCGACAGACGTAACACACACCCATAAATTAAAATCATGATCATTATCATCATCATCATCCTCATCATCATCGTGATGGGTATGCATTTTTCGGATGCCGGCAAAGCAAATGTTTCTTGTTACGGGTCATAATTTGTCTAAATAAAATCAAAATATTTCTCTAGCTATGCAATCGGCAATTAATTTTGCACCCAGCATACACGTATACGGAACTATTCCAAAATTCTGCGGCGACATTTAATGAAATACGAGCGGAGGCAAACGTCAGAAACAGTTCGTGGAAATATTAATTCTACAAATACATCACGCCCTATAAATGTTCACTGAGCTGCAAAGTAACAATTTTCCAGCAAATTAGAGCAACAACAACAATGATGACCATCCCCTTTGCTCGGCACTACAAACTTGAAACTAAATTAACGAAAATCAAAAAGAAAATGAAATGAAATGATCTGCTCGTTCACATTTATTTGTCGACTATATATTTAGGTTTATATTAAATCAAACGTAAAATCACGGCTGTAGGTGGCAGGTCGGCCACAATTTTCCATGACTAAGTGTTGCTGACGTCTTTGCCTTTTCTTTTTGGCCATCAGGCGCGCCATATAACTCAAGACTTTTCAGGGGCTGGGGCTCCATTCGGTGCTTTGTCACAGACAATTTGGCGGCGTTCGCAAGTTCGCGTGGGTGGCTGCCTTCCCAGTAGGGGATGTAGGGGGTGTAGGGGGTAGGGGGTAGGGGGGTAGACGGTAGGGCGTGTATTGTGCTGTTGCGTGTAAAGTAAAGCGAATTTTGATGTTTCTCGTTGGAGGCAAATTATTAATATGCGTCCATATAAACAACAATAAATGAAACATAAAAGCAAAAAGGCAACATGTTCAGATCAAAAGTTGGTTATAAATCATCATCATCAACAACAACAACAACAACAACAACAACAGAATGCGAAATACGTATCAACAACATTTTGGTCAATTTTTAATTAATGCCACTGCGGGAGCAGAGCCAGAAACTGTTACTTTGTTGCCAGCACAGCTCTACGCTATAAATACTCTGTGGGGATGAGGTGGGAAAGTTATGATGATCCAGGGATTTTTGAATGATTTGACGGCAGAAAGTTTATTTCATTAAATCTTGGCTAAATTATAACAATAAGGAGGTCAAGGACATGAGGGTCATCTTATATTCACAATGATACTGTTCATTTTAAATGATATTGATGATATTGAAATTAAATGAAAGATAATTATTAAAATGCAATTAATTAATTTGATGCGATGTCCATTTAAATTAATTATTTAAATTTAAATACAAGGCAACAGCAAGGAAAAGATTATTTATGGTTTGTAAATTCTTGATATTCTTAATTCAGAAAGAACTTTTTGGAACGATTTTTCCTGGTCCCACAGCTCACAGTTTCTTCTTGTTGACGTTATAGCGACGGAAGAACTTTATCTCTGCCTGCAGAAGAGTTCTCCAGCTTAGGTGAGAATGCTTTTCGTCTGATCAGCAGGCACTGTCTTCCAATAATGCGCAGTCTGTAGTGTTTTGTAAAAAAGGTAGCTTAAGAGTTTTTAAACTTTTTTTGTTTGCTTCGATTTGCAAATTTGTTTGAAGAATCCATTTTTAACCGACACGATAAAGAGCTTTGTTCAGAAATGTGAGTTTAATCTTTCCATCTTTTTGTGTGATTAGTGGTGTTAATACAAACATAAATATAACGAACTATGACGCGATGTTGTCATTTGACGCTAATACATCTGACGTATATACTTACAATACACGAAGATGTTACTGCAAGTATGTCAGTATTAGACGTTAAGTAATGTGCCGGATATATATCTGAATAGTAGGCATCTAAGGTGTATGTAGGCAGCAGTTATTTAACGTGTCGACAACTGACGTTCAGATATTTATCGTCATCTGATCTGTACACATCTGACGTGAAATTAAGCTTACGTGTTTGTATTAATAAACTTGGTATGCAGAAATTCGAGTGTAGGCTTCTTCTCCATACAAAGCTGTGAAAATGAGTGTTGCTCTGAAAATATGTCTTTTATAGAATATATTATACAAGCTTAGAAAACTATTCATCATCAGTGACCTAGAGATTTGAAACTAATAGTCCTTAACACTCTTATTTCAAAATGTATGCAATAATAATAATAAGAGCATTTTACAATAGTGTACAAATATTAACACCAAGTGCATTGAAATTGACTGACAATTCAATTCCCTTTTCTTGCAGAGAAACGCTCCTTTTCCTTCCGCCTTCGCCGCTCCTTTGGCGATGGTGGCAGCACCAATAGCCGCAACAGCAACAACAACAGCAGCACTTGCACCAACCACAACAACCAGAAGCGCTGCAGCACGCCCCTCACGCCCACCAGCACGAGCACCAGCAAGTTGGAGGTACCCGGACAAGCGTCGGTTAGTCGTCGGAGCAGTATCTACAAGAAGCCCGAGAAGAACGATGGCGGACAAATACATCTGATACCCGATGTGGAGCTGCCATTGATGACATTCGCCGATCAGTACAACATAGAGAAGACGCTGGCCGAGGGCTGTTTTGCGAAGATATTGCTCTGTCGCCACAAGCCCACTAATACGACGGTGGTGCTGAAGGCCGTGCATGCCGAGTTGACGACCATTAAGGAGTTTCAAAAGGAGTTCCACTATAACTACGAGCTCTCCCATCATCGGCACATACTGAGCGCCTATGCGGTGGCTTTCCAGACCATGGACTACTATGTATTTGCTATGGAACACGCACCTTATGGCGATCTTGCCTCGAATATTGGACCAAATGGCTTGCATGAGACCGCCTGCAAAACTATATCGGAGCAGCTGAGCTCGGCACTGGGTTTCATGCACTCCAAGAATTTGGTGCATCGAGATCTTAAGATAGAGAATGTGCTGGTCTTCACGCCGGACTTTAATCGTGTGAAGCTTTGCGACTTTGGGGCAACAACCAAGACGGGTCTCCTTGTCCACAAGGTGAAGCATACGTGGACCAGTTGTGTGCCGCCCGAGCAGCTGGAACTAATCAAGAACGAACGGTTTCAGTGCTTGCCGATCAGCGACTCTTGGCAATTCGGCATTCTATTGTACAACATTTTGACGGGCAACCCACCGTGGCACTCTGCCGATTGGGTTAAGGACCAGGCCTATTCCAACTTCATGAAGTACGAGCAGCGCAAGACCACAAAAGTTCCCGATAATTTCCGGCGTTTTTCGCCGCGTTTGATGCGGTGCTTCCGCAAATATCTCAGCTACGATCCCGAGGACCGTTGCAAGATCACCGAGGTCAACAAATATATGAAGGACCGCTGGGTGGAGTGTCGCATTTCGGCCTCCAAATCGGCCACACTGATCTCGCCGAACAACCACGATCAGGACTCGTGCATATATTTGAACCAGCGCGAGGGCAGACTATCGGGCGATGAGAATAAGCTGCGTTTCAAGCGCATGATGTCCAGCTATGGCTTGGATAACCCCATTGATCAGGCTATGGTGCGGCGGCGCGTCTGGGATTGGTTGTCGACCTGCGACGCCAACTTCGATCCCGAAATTGAAAGCCTGCACGCACTGGATGTGGCACAATAGATTGGGCATATCAGCTATTGAAACCAAATGTTACATTTGAGAATTTGTAGATCTGTAAGATCGTGCAATTATATTTATAATACTATATAGAGAAGTTACTTCTCCAAATTTTAATTGTTGTGGCATACTGCAAAATTATCTAGTATATCTCTGATATACCAGTATACAAAGTATGAGTAGTACGAATTTGTACCGAATCGCGATTTCGAATGAGAAATTGAGTTGAGAAAAAAAGCGAAAGGTAATTGTAAAATGTAAGCGTTAACGTTGACGGATTACTTTCCACTAGCGTTACCTTCTAGTCTTCCGATACGGTGGTTTTTAAATGTATGTACATGTATTTATAGTTTATATTTAATGTGTGATTTATATAGTATACGCGTTACCTACTTTATATGCTCGTTTGCAGCTATATATGTATACACGATATTTATTAACGTTACGATACCATACCGACTAATGCAATTATCTAGTGTTTAATGTTAGACTTTAAAGCGATGCGCAGTCGCACCCAAACAATTATGACCAATTATTAGAACACTAGGTTTTCATGTATATTTGTAAAAGCCCCCTATACTCTAAATGTGCAAACTCTCTATAAAGTATCTATAATATACTCGTAGTATACTTTGTGTCTTTTTGTATATATTATCGAAATATGCACCCACTCGTATGCGTATGTATGTATAACTATACACATACATATACTATATACATAAGTCATGTACCTATATACTAGACGATACAAATATATAAGCATAAACCGAGTTTATATGAAATAATAACAATGCATTGTTTTCTTTCTGAGTTCATTTTGAGGTCGACTGGCATGGCGCTATTGTCCTCATCAAAAACTTCTTAATATATGGAGCTTATGGACTTGTTTTCTATGCGATAAATAATAAAATTCCTTCCCAAAAAGATGGCAGCAATAAAGGACGCTCTTCGCAGCATCTGTGTGAAGTTCAACGTACAGATTTATGGCTAGCATCCTCATTAAGTAACGTTTTAAAACCAAAATCGGTTGTTGACTTGTCGAGCTGGGCGCATTCTTATGTAATTGTCCAAGTTTGTTTATAATTTGTGTTTTTATAATGCCATTTCGCATATTGCTTTAGCGAATATTTTAAAGGAACGCAGCACATTTGTCGTTTCGATCGGTCAACTGCTTTTATGAAGCGAAGTCCATTGTTGGATTCCAAGATCGTTAAGGTGGTTTAAGAATATGACAACATGTTGGGCAGAACTTCAAGGTCAACAGTTTAAAAAGCAATTGAGAAGACTCGTTTGAATGAAGGAACTTCCATTGCTAGGGGACACGGTCGTTCGGGTAAAGCCTGAGTACTTTGAGGTAAGTACTGGAGTCTAGAACTAGCAGCGACTTTGCAACCTTTATTTAGATCTTGATATCTTAAAACAAAAATTAATTCCGGCTACTATTAAATAGAAAAGGTAGAGTAGCTCCGTTTTCAGGATAAAGAAATCAAGATGGACAGGAATTCACTTTTTTGGTTGCATCATTTAATTAAGATTTATTTTTGTCGAAGATGAATGGTAAATAAAACTTAAGCAAGACATGTCTTATTTGCAGGATGCCTAAAATTCATTTACATTCTTCTAATAATTCAATTATAATTTTGCAGGTGGGCTCTGGCTCAGCAAATCGGTAAGTCCATATAAAAAGTAGAGTAGCATCATTATAATCTATTAATAATTGCCGTAAGAAAAAGTTATCGACAAAATTAAAAGCAAAAATACACGATAGTTTAAATAGTGTACCCTTTGTCCCTTTGGGTATAGAGTATGAAAAGAATCAGTTATAATTTCCATCGAAACGAAACACATTTAGAATGGCTTTTTGTTGCTTGGTGGATACTCCTTCGCTGTTGGATTCTAAAACGAATGTTTGGCACATTGCAAATTTGCGAAAAGTAATGTTTTGTATATTTGTTCTATGGGCATGTGGTCCACAATGTTTTCTTTATGCGAGGGCAGTTCGAAACGATTTTAGCCAGGCCATGAAGACGACCTCCTACATTAACCAAGCGTTGATATTTCGATTAGGTACCAAGATATTTGTTTTTCAAGGGCAATACTCCTACGCAATCAAAAACAAGATGGATGCTGTCTATGGGGATTCTTCCCCATTATTTTCAACTTACGAGCTAGGAAGTTGGAACTGTAACCATTGACGAAAAGTGCTTTAAAACTCACCAAATGGCTCTGGACAACCGCCAAATCAAAGTAAGAGAGATATCTGAATTCATCAAGATATCTATAGACCACGTTTGTAATTTTTTGAACAACAAATTGGACATGAGAAAGCTCTCGGCACGTTGAGAGTCACGTTTCCTCCCTTCGATCATAAGCGTGTTCGAATCAACAATAAAAATCCATTGGGGAAGCTATTACCTTTGTAAAAAACCACGTTGAGGAGCAGAACGGCGAATACTTTTGCATTTCAGAACTACATAGGTGTATAATGCATTGTTTTCGTCTTGAAAATATAAACAATATTATTTGTTATTCGTCCTTCCAATCAAACAGATTTCTCTAATCAACTTGAAACATTTCCCTAGCGACCAATGGGGCTGATTGTTTTTATTTGAAACGCATGCCTGGGAAAATAAAGCATAAATATTGAATATTTTCCTTCTTGTTTAAATTTTCTCAAATTTTAATAATTTATTATTGTTTGGATTTTGCACGCGTTAGCAGATAATATTTAGCTTTATTTTGAAGGTTAATCGCCCAGCAACACACACACACAAACACAGACATATGTTGGCTTGAATGTCAGCGGTCATGGCTGTTAATATGGACATGGCCAGAACAACAACAATGAATGGTTATTGCTGCAAACTGACCATTAGGTGGAAGTTGACTTTGTGTTTGACTAAAATTTATGAATGAATTAGCCGCACATTGTTTTTGTGCAATATGCTGTGTTGTTTATCAATTTGCGATAAATGTGTAGTCTGGACAGGATGTGACGCAGCCGTAAATCTGTCTCTAATAAACAGCGATGAAGGTTAAACGCAAAAGGTGAGACTATACCTATGTTTGGCTTTGACTTTTGTCTGAAATTCTGCGCCTTTGGCTGTCAGCCCAATTGAATTTATTGCTTCTCTATAATATGGCTATATACTTGTATGTATTATAAATGTAAAGGTAAATGTCCAAACAATTACTTGCCCCTGCGACCATTCACCTACAATCGATATACTATACATTATAGGTCAAAAGAAAGAGTTCCTTAATCGGAAACCATAGCGAATCTCTTATGCGACTGTCTAGCCTTAGTGTGGAGGAGGAAGCTTCTGCGCCAAGAGACGCACTTCTAAATAAGCAAGACAGATATACTTTAATCACTGTATTCAGCACATAAATTAATGTTCAAAACACCAGGTAGCTCATTCTCTTCCTTAATTATTAGTTATACGATGAGACAATAGAAAGGATCGCTATATTGTTTTTTTTTTCTATTTGTTTTATAACAATCGCCTAGATTTTACGTTTGGTTTTTATTCGGTGTATATGTGTTTTTGTTTGCTCATGTTAACACTTAAAACGTTTTTATGGTTTTTTTTTGTCTATAAAGAAGTCTATGAAGAATAAAATTAAAATAATTTTAAAAATAGCCGATTAATACAATATACTTATCCATGTGACTATCCACTTGATTTTTGCTGTTGCATTTCTGGCCCCCGCCTCTGGGGTCCTTCAATTAGCTGGCCTAGCGACGCGTGCTGGAAACTGGGTTGAGTTTAGCGCCGTAGTGGACGTTTATGGTTCAATAAATATACAATTTATCCCATTTAATTAGCTTTTATTGATGTAAAAACGTTCTCGCCAAAGCAAAACAAGTTGTGCCGCGCGCATAAATTTAAATCGCACAAAAATAGGTTTTACGATGCCTCCAAATCATCAACACCAGTCGCACAGGCGCCGCGGGGGCGGGGCGGGTCGGGACGGTGACAGTCGTTGCTTAATATGCGAATTTGTTGTTGTTGTTGTCGTTGGCATAATTTATTCGACGCATTTGCTTTTCTGCCGCATGGGCAACAACAACAACAACCAGAGCGATCGAAATATTTGCTTTGAATGTGAAAATTATGACTCTGTGCGCACTAAAGTATGCAACGTTTTTGTTGATCGATATGCGAACATAAAGCAGCGAATCGGAATCGAAATCATTAAAAATTGACATCAAACGATGCATAAATGTTATATTTTTGTGTATTTTCAGAGCTGGTTGAAAACAATTTGCAAATGCATAGAATAAATGTTATTTCCCGAATCACGCAAGACGCTAAACATTTGTGTTGAAGCGAATGTTTACATTTTTTTGAGGTTTGCTTTCTTTAGCAACTTTAATTGTTACTTTAATTTTCCATTCTATTAAATTTATATATCTCACACTGAAAAGTGAAAAAGTACATTTAGTATGTAAGTTTGTAGCACTCGGCGGGTAAAATGCTCGATTTTGCCAATCTTGTACTGACACAGTCCCTTTTAGTTACGATAGTTAAGTTAAGTTAAGTTCCCTGATATGTATTTGATTTCTTTAATAGTTTTGAGTTAAGAAAAATCTAGCTTATATCGAGCAGCCTAGAGACTTTATTAAATAAGCGTGTAATTTTTGATCTAGCAGCTTGTTTATTTCTTCTATGCGACGAATCGAACGGATTGGCTCCATGAAGTCACAACTCTACATCCTCTTTAAGTGGTAAGTTGTGGGTTCTATACTAAGCCGATGTCTCTCTGAGTACATTTTGGTGTTCAAGCACCTATTGGTGTGTTTTTGAGTTTTCAAATAAGTATCAGACCCAGAATCAGAAAGATAACTGCCACTGCATAGATGGAAAGTGCGTCGAGTCGGAAGAATTTAGCATTAGTAATCATCGTTTCTAGCTGCAGAAATGTGTGTGAATTTTTGATTTCTTTTGCTAATAGAAACAAAAAAGCAATTTTGTAAATCTTTTAGACATTAGTGATTCGTTGGCTAATGTGCATAGAATCTGTTTATTTATGCACTCAACGCCACATGTACGGCATTTATTTTCATCAATGGTTTGTGTCATGCCTGGTGTGGAAAACTATTTTCAATCACTTATAACTAAACAAATAAGTCATGTCCGAGTATATCGTAAGTACACAGTATATAGTATAGTAAGCTTATATTTGTGGGGGCGTGTAAATGTGCTAGATGAGGGCGGTAGCTAAAATCTGGCTGAAATGTATATAAAAATGCCTATAAAAAATTTCGCATAAATCATAAAACTAATGAAGAACTGCAGAAGGAAGACAGTCGCCTAATAAGTAGTCAGCCTCCAGCTGAAGAGCATTTCCTCCTCGGAGATTCCTATTTATGCAGGCTGATTTCAGTGGAATATTCTTTTTGATTACCTACAAGTAGAGAGCCAGATATCTATACATAGGTATTTATATAGTATATAATATAGAGGGAGCGTGGTTTATAAATATTTGCAATTGGCGTGCTAGTTTGTTTACAATTAAATAATAATAAAGCGAAAATCAATTAAGACGCGTGTGAAATACGTCAGAGTGTGCTTAAATTTAGACATCGACTAGCGCGCTACTAGTGGCCGGTTTTTGTTTTCCCCAGCAACGTTTACAAATAGCGGAGGCGTTTACTGAATCATTGGGTCAAAACATATGGGAAATGGGAACTTTGTTTTGTGCACAGGAAGCGCGGCTTCCGCGTACATAAAAACCATAAACGCAAACGAAAACAAATGAGTTAGCCGAATACAGAGAATTCGATAAAAATAATTGATTAATGATCGACAGAAACAACAACTGACCTCAGAGCAAATGTTTTGAAGATCCAATCGGTGAACCGGGGTCTGCGTTTGGGTAGGGATTTTTATTTTCTATAACTAGGAAGTTGCTTTCTTCATTTTACAGATAATGGTTGCGAGTTTTTTGCAAATAACGTTCTTTCTTTTAAAAAAGGGATTGACCCAAATTATTATTATTTTGTTTTAATTTTTGGGCCCAGCCTCTTCTGTTGGATTGAGAGGATTGGAGAGTAGGTCCACATATTTTTGTGTGAACACCTGGAATAATAAGATACTTGCTGGCATCAGAGACTTACTTTTACAATCCTCCAACCATTTCCTACTTTTTAATGAGCTAAGCTTACGCTATGATTAGTTCTGGTGGGGGGCATCATAAGTTAATATTTATAGCGTGTACCCCAAGGGTAAAGAGCGTATATTAGGCTTATGAAAAGTATGTAAGGAAGCATCTCCGACCCCATACATGTATGTATATGGTATTTATATACTATTAATGCCCAGACAACACGTGCTTATGGTATTTTTTTTATTTGTGCACTCAACGCCACATGTAATGGGTTTATTTTCATTAATGGTTTGTGCCTGGTGTGTGGGAAACTATTTTCAATCGCTTATAACTAAACAAATAAGTCATGTACGAGTATATCGTAAACACACAGTATATGTATAGTATAGTGTGGAGGCATGTAAATATGTTAGGTGTATGTGGTAGGTATAATCTGTCTACAATGTATATAAAAATGTCTATGAAAAATTTGGCATAAATCATAAAACTAATGAAGAACTGCAGTAGTAAGCCAGTCGCCTAATAAGTGCCAGCCTCCAGCCGCCGAGCATTTCCTCCTCGGAGATTCCTATTTATTCAGGCGGATTTCAGTGGAATATTCTTTTTGATTACCTACAAGTAGAGAGCCAGATATATACATATAAAATGATAAAATTTTAATAGATAGACAGCACAAGAACTGACCTCAGAGCACATGTTTTTGTAGATCTCATCGGTGTCCCAGGGTCCGCGTTCGGGCAGGGCTATGCCACGTCTTCGCAGCTCCTGTACGCAGTCTGTCAGATCGAAAATGGGCAAAGGATCTATGCCGGCCTTCGCCACCTTGGCAGCCAAATACTCTACATAGTGGGTGCTGGGAAATAAAAGGGTAAGTAATTGTAAGCTTAACAAAAATATTTTGTAGAGTAATGAAGATATCCCATAAACTAAAAGACCTTTCATTTAAGACACACAACCTGTAACTATAACATTATTTAATGAATATAAGCTGGTAGTTCTATGAATGATTTGCTTTCCTTTCAAAAAGGGGAGAACGATTAAAGATTTTAGGATCGAAATTTCTAAGAAGAGAGAATGCTACAGTCGACTAAGCCCGAGAGTGAAATACCCAAACAAAAAGAACAAGGGGGTGGAACTGTTGTTCAAAAGAAGGCAGACAGACTTGGCTGAATTGGCGCTTATGGTTATGATGATCAAGAATTTATATAGATTTGGCATTCTTCACAAACCTTATATGCCTCTTAGGAACAGGATGTAATCAGTTGTTTTAAAAAGAAACAAAAATTAGCCTTAACTTGTATTTAAATGCAATTTTTCGAGCAGAGCACTTTGTTCTGCATGTAACATATGTATATGGATTTATTGGATTGTTTGTCTTACCGGCACATGCCCGCATGTTTTTCGGGCACCTCGCTATTACAGACGGTGTCCACCAGACCCTGTGGTGTCTCCTTTTGTAGCGGTATGGGACAACGTGCCGAGGCACGCGCTGTTGCCGAGCTACTCGGTTCATCTCTTAGCTCGATGGCCACGGTATCGAAGCTGACGTTCTGCTCCTTCAGTAGAAACTGAAGCTGCATCGGTATTTTGTCGCGCAAGTAGAAGAGACAGTTGCGCGGATGATGGGCATGAAGTCCCAGTTTGGCGCAGTACGACGAAACATTGCACTTGGCGCCCATCATGAAGGGACGTGCGCAGCCATAGCAGAACTCGAACTTGCACTGAGTGCAGGTGAAATGCATGCAGCCGCCTCTGGAATTGAAAACGAAAGTTGTAGAGGAGCCTCGCAGCTTATAGTGAGGGTTGATAGTCTGTCCTACCTAGCCAGCGAATATCTAAACTTGCACTTGGGACAGTCGATGCCATGCTGGGCCAAATGCTCCTGAACACCTTGTGCCTGTAATTCGGGATCGTTGACGCGTTTCCACTCCAGATAGGCCTCGCAGCTGCTGCCCTCGTGCTGTTTCTCCCAGGGCTTGCGGCACTGAGCGCAGGTGACTGATCCACAGTCGGGGCATATCAAGCGCTTCTGCTTGGGTCGTGCAAAGAAACCGGAGGAGCATTGTATGCACCACTTGAAGTTTGGATCCTGAAGAAGCGTGCGATCCCGCAGCTTGCGCTGAAACAGTTCATGCACATCCGAGTCCAAAATATTCTTGAGAAAGATATCCAAATTGGAGAAGTATTCCAAATGATCGTCCTCGTGCAGCGATTCGCTGCTCAGCTCTGGCAATTTGCAATAAGGACAGCTGCAGTCATTGATGCTGCGATCCGTTATCTATATGGAAGAAGTATATATCTTAATATTAATGACAAAGTACAAAAAATGTGAGACAGTATTTAACGATAAACAAACTATATATGAAAAGATAAATATTATATCTACAAGTATAGTGAGACAAGATGTGAAAATATTTGCAGACTAAAGCAGGAGAAAAGAATCAAAGGAACTTTTATGTCAAGGACCAGGCTGCAATACTAGAAGCCAACTTATAAACCCACAAAGTCCAAAAGGAAAGAATTGATTCTGATTCCATTTTTGAACACTACTTGTATTCTAGAATGAGATATATTGAAGGCTAGTGCTGTCATCAAACTGCTTGGACATCTCCTCCAAGAACATCTTTATATCTGACTTTATCATGAATTAACGAGATATGATTACGAAAACACAGAAAGGTAAATGCAGACTCCCGTTATTTACCTGAACAGTGAAGTAACTTTTGGCGCATTGCTTGCAACACTTGTGCGTGCACTTCAGCATAGATACGATCTGGTTCATGGGATACATGTTCATACATAGTTCGCACTCTTGTTGCAGCATGGCTATGGCTTGATCCAGGTCCGAGCACTCCTTGGCTGCCCAGAGCGCCACATCCTCTTGGAACTTCATGTTAACCAATGTGGCGGCGATTTGGGCCTCGGCTATATTGGAGACTAGGTCCTGATCCACATATTTTCGTGCAAGTACCTGGGAAAAAAGAGGATACTCACTGGTATCAGAGATTTACTGTCACACTACTCGAGTTCTACACACCGCTGGATCCTCTATAACCTGTTCCTGAACGCTTGGATATGCCCGAAAGACGGGTATGCTAAGCTTACGCTGCAGCAGTTCAGCTTTGGTGGGGGCAGAGGCTAAATCATCACTCGTATCCTCTTCGGCTGTGGAGGTCTCGTAATCATCGTCTGAGAAACAGGTCTCGTGGTATTTCTTCTTAGGTATGCGTGGTTGTGTACGAGTCTTGAAGAGAGCGTTAACAGCCGCTGCAGCAGCACTGCTAGTACTAGGACCGTCAGTGGTTGGTTTGTTGAATTTATTGATGGCGTCACTGATGGTCTTCTTGGGCACGAAAGTGGGTACCCGACTGTGCGTCGGGCCAGTGCTTGAGAGACCCTGCTTTTGCAGATATTCCTGCTGTATGCGTTTTACAGAGGAAATGCCCATGGGAGTGGGGGGACCCGAAAATGATTTTGAGCGCAGGGGCACTTTTTTGTTGACTAAGGTAGTGTTTGGTTCGTTTGTGGGCTTAGGTATTTTGCTGGCTGTGGATTTGGTTGTCTTATTGACTGTTGTGCTGCTTTTGGAGGTGCTAGACCCCTCTGTGTTGTTGGCTTTTTTGTTTGTCTTTTGTTTGTTATTTGTTGTGGTTGGGGTTACCTTTTTTGGCTCCTCTAAAACGGTTTCTGTGGGAAGTTCCATGGGTCGACTTTCGGAGTCAGCTATAGGGGGTGGGGAAGTAATGGGTAGGGCGTTAGACTCATCCACAGTCTGTTCTTCAGGTTGTTGGGCCTCAAGGACGATGTCAGCTGGCATCTCAGCTGGACGACTTTCAGAATCAGCTATGACTGGTTCAGGTACTATAGGCAATGCGTTTGGCTCGACCATGTTTATGACTTCAACGGCAGGTAGAGTTGAGGAGTTCGCTACTGTTTCAGCTGTCTCCATTACTTGAGTTGTTGGAACGCCATCAATGGTCTCCGAAGCAGTAGGAATCATTGCTGTTATGACGGCGTCCAGTACTGTGGGTGAAACAATCTCAGTGAGTTCATGTACCACAGGTTCATGGTTTGTGGATGTGGCGATAGATGTTGTCATGACTGTTTCATGCGGGGCCTGTCCAGTTTCCTCTTCGTCATCTTCATTCTCCGTTTCTTCTAATATGTCCTCAATTTCTGTGCCCTCCTCCTCCCCATTTTCCAGTCTTGCTGCACCACTTGAGGCATCTTCAATAAATGGAGTTTGTTCGTCATATGTTGTGCCATCTTCGTCATCATAATCGCCTTCTTCGTCGCCCTCACTGTCATACCACTCCTCTTCCTCGCCCTCGTCGTACTCATCGGAATAGTCTTCTGAGTAGTCGTCGTCAGTGGACTCAAATTCGTCCATGCTGATCTCCTCCCGCATTTGCTTAATTAGACGCTGCGTGTCTTCCACTAGTTCACTTAGATTTTGCTTCGAAGGATCACCAGATGGTATAAACTCCTTCAATACCATTTTGGTAGAGTCCGAGTGACTGGAATGCGAATTAACTGTGGCACTGCTGGTCGACTTAGCTATGGTAGATTCCTGTGCTACCTCGGCCGAATTCAGCACAAGCAGCACTTCGCTTTCTGGCGAACGGGTGTTATCGCGCTGCTCGGTAGTCTGCTCATCACTATCCAAGCTATAGAGTTCTGCCTCCGATGTGACCTCGTCTTGCGCCCGCACTTCTTCGGTGCTGCTGAATTCGGCAGCATCTTCAAAGACTTCTTCAGACTCAACTGGACTAATGGCAGCTGGTGTAGAAATTGAGGGTACGGGCTCTACCATGCTTGTAATAGGTTTAGCGTTGCTTTGTATCGTTTCCAAACTCCTGTCTTCATGTTGAGTCTGGGTAGTTTCTTCGGCAGCTGTTTCTTCTGCAGTGGTGTCAGCATTTTCGTTATGTTCTTGTGTGCCACTTGTTGTGGGGACTTGTTTATTCACTTTGCTTTCACTGCGCAGGCTGTTGGTACTTTGTGTTCTCACAGGTATTTTTGAAAACCGCTTAGGACTGCGTTTTCGCTCAACTGCCGCTACTGATGTAGGAGTTTCCTCTTCTTGTATCTCAGACACCTCATTTGATGCCAATTGAGAATCAGTTATTGGTTCCGGTACGTTATTCGCCGTGGGTCTTACTTCAGATGCAGGAACCTCATCTTCTATGAATATTTGTTCTTGACTGTCTAATGCGGGCTCATCTGCTCGTGATTGTGCCTCGGCTTCAATCATCTTAATTTCTTCTGTTACAATATCAACTGAGTCGGTGTGAGGTGGAAGCACTTCGCTATTTTCAGTTATTTCGTTTGGAACTGAGTTCGATTCAATTGGCTCTGTTTTTTGCGGCTCCTGTAAAGGCTTTATTTGTGCTGGGACTGCTTCAACTCCATCACCAACTTGTACTTCCGGCAAAGGTTCTGCCTTAATAAGGGGTGCTTCGACTACAGGAATATGCTGTACTATTTCTGGAACTGCTTCAACTGCATCACCAACTTGTACTTCTTGCACAGGTTCTACCTTAACAAGGGGTACTTCGCCTGTAGGAGTATGCTGTACTATTTTTGCTAAAGTATCGGTTTCGGTCTCATTTAGAACTGCTTGTGTTTCGACTTGTGAATCGGTCTGTAGTTCAACAATCTCATTGTTTGCTGTTTCGTCGGATTTCGTCTGAGCCGATTCATTTATTTCTGTCTGTCTAGGGGTGTCTTTAGGTTCATCGGTTTGTAACGATTCAACATCATTAGTTGAGGATTCTCCTGGTTTTTCCGCATTGTCTGTATTGCTTTCTTTCTTTTTATCTGTAATGCCTTTTGAAAGTTTAGTTCGGTTGGTAGGCTTTTGGCTTTGATCACGTGTACGGCCCTTTCTTGGTAGCTGTGATCTTTTATTTCTTCTATTAGCTTCCCTGCTTGTGCTTGGCTTATCATCTTCCTGTACTGCATGATTATCGGTTGGAATATCATTAGATTTTGTTTTTTCTCCCGCTATGATTTCTGATTGGAGCGAAGCTTTCATAGTTTCTGTTGTAATTGCTGCTGGAGACTCTGTTGTTAAGACTTCAGGGGTGTTTATATCTTTAATTGTTTTGGTTCCATTTTCAGATTCTATCTGCGAAGTTGTCGTCTCAGCAGCTGCTTTATTAGGTGATTGGTCTTCCAGAGTTTCAGCTTGAGGCAATTTTTGAGGCGATTCTTTAGATTCCGCAGCCACTTCTTTTGGAGCTAAATAACTCATGTATACAATATTATCTGCGTCGTTCAGATCGTCGGGTTCCCATTCTGGCTGATGCGTAGTTTCCGAGCCTCGGTCAAACTCTAACTTGAAATTGGCTATTTCTGTTGCATAAATGAAATTTGGTGGCAGTTCTTCTCGTATTGAGGCTTCCCTAAGATTAGGCTTGATCACTTCTTCCATGATATAAATGCTAGGGTCCACAGGCGGTGGGGTGGGAACTTTGACGACAGGTACCTCAGGAACCTCATCGGTTTGTTGGCCTTCTGGACGTTCCATTAGCTCCTGCTCCACTTGCTGTACTAAATTAGGCACTATTTCTTGAATGTGTTGCCACACAAAGTTCTTGACATCGTCGGTGGACCTATCTTCGACGAGTAGAGGAGCTTTTGGTGCACTGATGGGGCTCTTTGTGAGTATTCGCATAACTTCTGGATCTGTCTCATAGTCCTGCTCGGGTTTTCCTTTAAAGGTTTCTAGCATTGTCTCAATCGAACGCAATACTTCTTGGTTCTGTTTGGCTTGATTCTGTTCCATATTGCCTATGAGGATCTCGAGATTCTTCAGCGTGCTGTCTTCTAGTTGATATGGACTGGGCGTGGCATATGCGGACTTGGAAGGGCTGTGGTCAATGTCGTCAATGTATGGGGCGTCAAATGGATTGGCGATGGCGGGACTCTCACCAGCCGCCTGTGGTGGTTGCAAGCAATCCAAAGCATGGGTGTTTAAAAAATCTTGTATATCTGCGCAGGCACAAGCAGCGAGAAAGAGAAAGAAAAGATGAAGGAGAGTGTCAAAAGTGATATGATGATGAGAGTAAAAACTACAAACTAACCCGACTTGGTATCTAAGATGCCACTTTCATTATCCACGCCATTTGGCGAGCCCCAGATGCGCATTAGAAATGGTTTGAGTTGTGTACGATTCAATTCCAACAGCGCCTGATCCAAATTACCTTGATGTGCCGTCAACGCATTCACAATGTCGTCCCTCAGGAAGTTGCCCTTACTGGAGAGCTTACGAAACTTTTGCTGGCGTTGCTGTATGCAATCGGCGACGGCCTGCCAAACATTTCCACTTGAACTACGCAGTGCTTCGCGTGCTTCGTTCTGCGACACGGTACCAATAGTGTTCTCTGCTCGCTCCTGTCCGTACTTTGTGGCCAGACTCTGCACGGTTGAGACTAACTTGTGCCAGTTCTCACGCAACCATTGAATGGGATGTGTTTCGGGACCACAGTACTTGAGTGCCGCCTCAAGCTCCTCCACAGTGAACTTGTACAGCTCAAGTTCCTTGAGTATGATGTGTAGCTCTGTTTCAGGGTCGCGAGCCGGTTCATGCTTGTAGGCGAAAGGTTCGTGGGGTAAGTCGAAGGGTGACGAAGTTTGCTGCAAAATATGTTGTCTTTTGAATAGTAGAGAGGTGAACAGCACTATCTCGTCCAACTTACATGCTGCAATGTTTTTAGATCGCTTATAAAGTTAGGACGCTTTGTCCACTGGCTTGCGTTATAATGCTCAAGAGCACCATATCCTTCGTTGTTGTACCGTAAGTCATTGGAACTACGATACCGATCGTTTTCCTGCTGGAGCTGAGAGCTGCTGCGGTAGTAGGGACGACGTTCCATTTTAGGCGGCTCAGGCGTCCGAAAACGCTCCTGTGGGACGGCTGTGGGCTCTTCTGTCTGGGCAGGCACCGATTCACGACGAAAAGGCAGAGCATCGTAGGTCTACAAATAAACTTTTTAGCCAGAACTGTTCATGCCACAATTGAAATATTAAGTACTTGTGTGGATATGCTCTGTGGAGGCGGTGAAGTGCCCATTTCTCTCGCTTCTCTTGCCTCTTCAGCAGTGGGAAGCTCCCTGGGTGGAGTGCCCCCACATCCCGTCGAAACCTTTTGAGCTTGCTTAAGCACCTGCTCCGCTTGTGCCTGAATACTTTCATCTAAAGTATTCCAAATGTTCTCAACGGAGTCTGTATAATTAAGAACTTTAATGTTTCAACAATCTTAACAGAAGGCTACCAAAGGACCAATAAAATCAAAACTCCATGTGGTTTAGTTGGGCATACTTTGTATTTCGGTTCAGTTTTAATAAATGCGTTAATTGTAGGGCTTACAAGTAAATTTGAATTTCTTGCAGTGTCATAAAATTAGTCTTGATATTGTGTGGGGGTTCGATTTTAGGCCTTGGTACCCTCGAAAAATGAGATTTTCTTCAGTATCCTACCTTTGTGTATGAAGCCCTTGGCCAATGCGCTAGCTGACTCTCCAGTTGCAGTCGTCGCCGGTTTTGCAGCAGCTTTCGCAGACGTGTTCGTTGAACTTGTCGAGGTGGTTGCTTTATGGTTGTTTACTGTGCTAGTAGTGCTTGAAGGTTTTTCAATGGGTTTCGATGATTTCATAGAAGACTTGCGAACGAGCTTCACCTCAGGTTTTGGGGTCGCGGATACCTGAATAGCAGCAGTCGTTGCGGGCTTAGGTTCAACCTTGGCAGCTGTGGGTGTGGTTTTGGACTTAGGTTTCTCGGGCGGCTTGCTGGGAGTCTTACAGCAAATTGCACAGATTTTGATATTTGATTCATTGACAAATGTACAGAACTCGCATTCCCATTCATGATCCGGTGTTGATGGTGGCGGTCCAAGATCATCTCCGTCCGCCTCCACCTCGGCTGCATTTTCTGGGCCATTTGTAGCTTGTGTCGGAATCAGTTCTGGCGCGGGCTTAGATTGTTCTGTTTCACTTTCGGATTGTGACACCTCTTCCACCACCTCCTCGTACTCTTCCTCACTTTCAGAACTACCTGCTGGGGCTGGAGCGGTTGTGTTTTCTCTGTGTGGCACCTTTTGGACAACCGCTGCGGCTTGTGTGTTTTCGTCTTTCATTTCACGCTTGGGCTTCGCTTCTGTCTTTTTGGCCTTATGCGGTTCCGTCTCTTTGAGCTTCTGCTGTATCTTGGCCTGCACCAGAGCCCGTGCGGCCGAACCTTCTGATTCAAGGTCAGAGTAGATACGGCTGGGCTTTTGCGGCTCGGTTTGGCGTTTCAATGTGCCACCACCGGCGCTCGAATCACGTCGCTCGGGTAGCCACTCACTCTGTACGGATTTTGCAATAGAACCACGACGATCACGTCGCCTCGGGCCATGTCGCTGCTCACTATCGATGTCATCATTGCCGTTATTTATGAATTGAGAGGCACTCGACAAGCGCCGTTGACGTTGATGGTGTTGATGAGCGCGTGAGGCGCTGGTCATTCCCGAACGATTCGATACCATTGATCGCCGATCATCTTGGTCGGAGTCCTCGTCATCCGTTAGCTCATCATCCACATAGCTGCTACGCTTGCGCCGCATGGAGAGCGACTTGCGACTGGGCGTAGGGGAAGCTGCGTAGCGTGGTCGTGAGGCAGCCCGTGAGGCGGCTACTGGTGGCATTCCCATGACACCTAATTGCAATGAAAGTAATATTGAAAAAGGTTCGGCATTGGGGTTCGTGCGTTCAACCAACCTGGATGCATGACTGGATATCCTTGTGGGTACATATTGGGCATTATGCCACGCTGTGTCATGAATACAGGCGGTGGATAGTGCTGATGCTGTTGCGGCAGATAGCCGGGCCCCATATTTAGTGACAGATTTGAGTGGTTGAATTGCTGTTGTGAGCCAAACTGTGACCAGTCGTCGGGATGCTGATGCATATGCGGTTGCTGGCGCGGCTGTTGGGGCCAACCCGGCTGTTGGCGAGTCTGACAGCCGGCACAGTTGAGCTGAGCCATAGATTGTGCCTGGATTGGATGGTAAATGGTTAGAATAGTCCTCTCATAGGGTTGTCTAGTTCGCCTACCTGTTGCATGGGCTGATTAGCTAACCAAGCGCCGTTGGATTGCATCTCCGTCGGAGGTCGCCTGTTTAAGCTGTTCAAATTGAAGACGGATGTGCTCATTTGGCGACGCTGAGCGCCCGCTGCCTGTCGTTGTTGTTGTTGGAACAACAGGGAATTGTGAAAATTGTGTGAATCATCCGATAGGTCAAAATGTGATGAATTCAAACCGGATGACATGCTGCCGGAACGAAAATGCGAGGGCGATGGTGAAATGTTTGACCAATGCTCAAAGGTGCCACCATTTGGCAATAGCTGCGACAGATGTACACACATGTGACACAGACGTGGGAGTGACGATTGAGTGATAAAGAGAGAGAGAGAGAGAGAGACAAAGACGAGACGATACGAAACGAAACAATGATGAGGGGATCGTTACGAGTGGGTAACATTGAAGACTTACCTGATCGCTGGCCACATCGCTGCGCGAGCCCCCCAACTCCTGTTGCGCCTTATGCTGGCGATATCGTTGCTGCAATATAGCCATGCGATCCAGCGTGGCACTGGCCTTGCTCTTGATCTTCTCAAGCTGCACTGAGGGCGGTCGCTGTATGTTATCGAACACAGACTTGGGCGTGCCCGAGCGCGATGAGCCACCGCCCTCGCTGGGTGTCGGCTTGGGTGGATCGGGCAGCGGACGACTGTTCATCATAAGACCACGCCAAGAGCTTGACTTTTGGGAGGGCGTGGGCGAAGGCGGGGGCAGCGGTGGCGTGCCCGTGGTCTGCGTCTGCAAGAGAGTTGTTTGTGGCCGATTCGTTTTTGATGGAAAGAGAAAATACAGTAAGGTTTGTTGTTGTTCTTTTTGGACAGGCAGCATTAAGGTTTTTGTTGTTTTTATTCAAGCATAAAAAATTAATTACAAACTGGTACTAAATGATAAAATGGAGAGCGCAACGTTGGATTTTGAGGAAGTACCCACACACAATATATTATCTCTATGTATGCATAGTAGTACGGAGTTTGTTTTGTTTTGATTTGTTTAAGAAATCGTGCAGAGGCGTACCTGTTCCTTGCGACCCAGAAACGGTGTCAGCAGGCCGCGTTTGCCACGTCGAGGTGGTGCAACGGGTGGTGCCCCGCCCGCCTGAGCCTTTGGTGGTATAGGTGGTGTACCCTGCTCAACGGCCTGTACAAAAATAAAAATAAGGTTAGCTTGAGGGCACTTCTAGAGGCACAAAACGTTGCAGCTTGCCTTGCGCACGTGGTTCTTGCGTTTGGGGTGTTTGTGGAACATGTCATCACAAGAGGCGCAAAACAACTGACCCGAGCACTCGCCGCAAGTAACCCAGGGATTCTGTGAGCCGCACAATGTGCATTTAAGCTTATTTTCTGTAAAGAGAATGCCAGAAAATAAAATAAACAAAATTTTGAACTGACGGTGTGATTACCAAAAATTACAAACGTTGGTTACAAAGATCTTACTTATGATATGATCTTATGTCATTTATAATGAAGAGAAATAAAGTTATTGTAGGACTGAGCTGACTGAGCTTTCTTTTTGTTTTGTTGATTTATTGAAAACAGAAGGCGAACAAATTCAGTCAAGTGTCTTAATTCATAAGAATTATTATTTAGAATTATATAATTGATTGATTCTGACATGTAGACATCTGATGTGTAGACATATTATGTGCAGAGAATCTAGCCCGCAATAATGATTTGATTTTTCAGCGGCTCCTATGGGATAATAGCCAGATGGTGCCAAAGCTCTCACATCACTTGTTCTACCACCTGTTCGTTTGTTTGAGGATGCTTGTTGAGACAGAACTGTAAAAGGTTATCTCACTTGTCGCAACCTCGTTCACCTCTATCTTCCTATTGTCAACTCTGATCGACATATTTACGATTTGCCAATAGATACCGCTCTTCTACCGCAAGTTAAATAAAGGCTAATTAAGTTTTAACTGAATCGTTTAAATAAACTATTAAATATATGGTTCTTCAATCGCCAAAATTGCTGAAATATTTGAGCCATCTTCCGATCTTTGTGTGTCGTTATTAGCTATAATGAATACATCTGACGGGTAGAAATCTGACGTTTTATTTTATTTCTCTGCCTAATAGATACCGCTTAAATAGATCTCGGTCTAAAAAAGAAGAGTGTAACCATTGTATTACTACACAGTTCTACTAAATGGATAAGCAACGCAAAACTTTGATTGGCGTTCCATAATTCGCATTGTTTTCAAGCTTTCTAGCAACTGATGGTTTACCAATTGTGAGAGGTAATACATAATTCGCGATGCGAATAATTTTAATTGATTGCCATAAAGCCATTTAGAATCTGCACAATAATTAACATATATAACATATATAATTAAGTGAACGATGGGAAAATAAACAGAAATTGGATGACACTAGAAACAAGAGATTAGGGAGCTCACCTGGAGTTTTAGTTCGAATCACTGTTGTCTTCATTGGCTCATTAGAGTATTGCTGATTGCTGAACTCAATGACTTCATAGTCTGGCTCCGGCTGATTTTTCGTCTTTGGCGGCAGTGCTGGCGCCTTCGGCGTCGTTCCATTGGTAGTCGCAGCGCCATTTGGAGGCGTTGGTGGCGGTTTCGGACCAATACGTTCATTCGCCTCAGTCTGTTTTGAAAGCACAGATTTCTATTTTAGAATTTCTCGATCGTTTAGACATAGTTATTCGCATGTTTTGCTACTCACCACCCATTTGGGCATTGTGCGCACATTTTTATTGAGCAATTGCTGTGTCGTCATAGTTTTCTGGTGTCGTAGTCGTCGTCTCTACTTAGTTCTGGTACTGTTTACTCGTTTACTTGTTGCTTCGAATGGCTGTGTGCCAGACATGGAACAGAATTGGAAAACTTATTTTTGTGATGCAATAAAAATGCAGCGTTAATACGCAACAGGAATTTAGGTTTATTGGGGTGTTGGAATATTTGACGAAACAGTCTTCTATATTAGTATTTGATTTGGAAAAGCATTATGTATGCCTTTTCTATCATTTCTTATCGATCTTGAATTGTTGTATCGCGATCTAGGTACTTACATGGGCTTTACAGTAGACTTCTTATTAAACAAATTGGCGATAAAATATTTTAGTTAAAGTTTTGATTCTTTATTTTGAAATTTTAATATATTCTTTTATATTTATGTTATTTTAAACTATTGCTATTGTACATTCAACAATGCAAGGTATTTACAATTTTTTAACACCTTTTGTTTTCATAATTTTGTGTTTTCTTGTCAATACAAAAACAGAAATAATAAAGACATGAAAAATGAAATAAATAATGACAAAAATGAAGAACTAAAAAAAAAAGGGGAAATGAAGAACTACAGATAAATGAATGAAGATGTACATAAAGAAATGCTTGTACATAACGAAATAAATACATAAAGTTATAAAAAATATAGAAAAATAAATGAGGAAAAATACATTACGAAATAAAAAGAAATAAATATATTATTAAATAAGAAAAACATAAATACCTAAAGAAACATATGAGTAAAAAACTAAATAAAGCAAAAAAGGAAGAATATAAATAGATGAAGAAGTGAACAAATAAATTTGTAAAAATAAAGTTATAAATAATATTAAAAATAAATAATAATTAATAAATGAATAAGGAATTAATTAAATGGAATATATGTATATAATCAAATATATATATTTTCATGTCCATTATTTCCGCTTCAAAAGACTTCATATGCAATTAAGCTAGATGTCAAAAATAGTGCTCTTTATATGCATACGAGTATGTAATTCTGTTATTATTTTTAGCACTCGCTGTTCAACTCACCTAATTTCTAGACAAGTCCCTAGTAGACAAAAAACAACAACAACAACTATAATATTTGCTGCAAAACGCAAAATGCATTAAGTCTGTGCGCAGAAAACGGACCAAACGCCGCCAGAGTTGCGCCGAGAATAAAACATCTATATTTAGTCTGAATATTTATACCCTGTACCCAAAGGGTACAAGGGTATATTAGTTTTGTGCGAGTGCACATGGAACACACAGAAGGAGGCTTGGTAGACCCCACAAAGTATATATATTCTTGATCAGCATGACAAGCCGAGTCGATATAGCCATGTCCGTCTGTCCGTCTGACCGTCTGTCCGTCTGTCTGTCCGTCTGTCTGTCTGTCTGTATGAACGCAAGGATCTCCGAAAGTATAAGAGCTAGAATAACCAAACTTGGTATACAGATTCTCCTGAGACCGAGAAAGGACGAGTTTGTTCATTTTTTCTGATCCAACCCCCCACTCCCCCCCTATTACCAATTTTCTATAACTCCCATAATTCTTGGAATTTTTAACTTAAATTTGGTAGTCACATTAGGTTAATAATTATATATCCGTATACCAAGTTTCATTATGATAGAATGATCGAAAAGAAAGTTATAGCCATATAACCAGGCCCAATGCACACATACATACATATGTACAAGTACACAAACACGCATAAGGCACGATTCTGATGTAAATGTAAATGTATGTATGCATGCATGGAATATTTTATATTTAATTAGTTAATATTTAGTTAATTAATTAAATTAATTTAGTTAATTAATTAAATTAATTAATTAATTAATTAATTAAATTACTTTTTTGTGGGGTGGTACAGGGTATTTAAGAGTTGAGCCTGCTCGACTTTAGCATTCCTTTCTTGTTTGTATTCGAAAGACTCTTTGGCAAACAGAAAACTAAAATGTGTGCTAAAATTCGTTGTACGTGTATGCATATGGATTTTATTATTTATGAAGCAAAATAAAGAAAAAAGAAAATAAAAAATGCTTTCGGAATCGTTCAATTAACGTGCGCTGTCAACGCGACCGAGTGGAATGGATGCAGATACCGGGGAAGAGCACAGAAAGACAGCGCAATACTTGAGAGGAGAGTGCAAAGAGAATCATTGATCAGAGCAATAAAGAGAGCGGGGAGTTGCAAACTACAATCGCTTATATTTACAAAAGTGGCTCTCATAACGACAAATCAAAATGCAGCAGAGAGCAGTTGCGAGTGCAGCGAGTTAAAGAATTCGGTTGTCCATATGTAAGGCAAAATCCATAAAATTTAGAAAGCTAGACAAAAAGTTAGTTCAATAAAATAAAAATATACATAAAATAAAATATACAACAATTTAGCCAAAGATTGCAAAAATACAGAAAGAAAACATTAAAAGAAACAGAGCGACGCTAAAGAAGAGAGAGGGAGTGGGAAGGTAGGCAAAAGGACACAGCTATCAAGAGCAAAGGAAAACAGAGAAAAACGAGAGAAGAGATAAAATACATAGTTTATTGTGCGTTCATGCATTCAATATTGACGAAAATAATTCACAAAACTATAAAAATACTCAAGCCGGTATAAAGAGAGAGTGAGAGAAAGAGAGAGAGAGAGAGAGAGAGAGTGAGAAGGAAGGGGACAGATCTAATTAGTTGGCTGCATTTCATTCGGTATATTTAGTCCCTACTTCCTAAAAGTGAGAAAAATAAAACTAGTTTTAGGGGGTGTTTTTAATCAAACTTATTATCTCTAACGAATTAATATGATAGTGCTCTTCTCTCAATAGTTCTGGCTGTTCATTAATCTTTCGTTTTTTCATCTCTTCAAAGAAAGGCCCTACAAAATTTTATGATATGTCTTCTTTAATAACAATATAGTAACTCGAATATTAATCCAAAGTTCATTAACTATTTTATAATGCTAAATACACTTAATTCTGTTTTTACACGGTAGATTGGTTCCAGAAACAGCCGTATAAAAAAAGACATTGTTCATATGCAAAAATAGGTGATTGGTTCCTTATCTCTAAAGAAATGTATATGCACTTTGTAATTTTCAAACCGTGTTATATCAAAATTGTGTAAAAAAGACCGTGTAAAAACAGAATTAGATGTATTTCAAATTAAAGTTTTTTAAAAAATGTCGTAAATATATATAATTTTTAAAACAATCACATGAAGTTTGATTGATAAAGCGAAGACATTCATTTAATTGCTTACAAAATGCAATATATTTAGTATCTAAATATTTAATTGACTTTTTTTTAACATTAAACACAACTGCAATTGTCTTCAGGAATTATTTTTTGTAGAGTATTTGTTAATGTATGTGTTTCCTTATTCTAATACTAGCTTTCTTCTTTTCAAAGCTCTGCTTACAAAAAACTAATGCGCGATGCATTTCGATTTATCCATATTCTTCAATATTCAGGCTTACTTTGTCTTGGGCACACAGTGCGTATAAGCAATATTGTTGTACACAGTTGCATTTCTCAGTCTATTTTAAGAGCACTGCACTTATCCATAGGGTTTGTAAATATGTCACTGCAGCAGAAGAAATACATATACTCGTAATTATGAGTATCGCCAGCCCCGTTGTTTTGGGCATCTTCAAGTGGCTGTCGCTCGGCTGTTGCGTATGCCCTGGGAGCCACACACAGACACACAGACACACACACACACAGACTTAGAGACACAAACACTCAGACACTCAGACATACACGCGACATACGCGCACGATTTTTATTTTTATAGAACGTCTTTCGGAACTATTTTTAAACAGTTTTCTTGCTTTCGACATGTTTATTGCCTATATTCGCTTTTTCAGTAGCAAAATCTTTGCAAATTTTAGGGTAAAAAAGTGTTTATTGATTATTTACTGAATGCCTTGAACTTTTTTCTTTTGTATTGTTAGATCGATTCATGAATTCCCCCTTGAATTCAGATTTTGTTTATTTTTAGAAGCACTTCAATTGGTTTTCGTTTTGCATATTTGTGGCATTTGGTATTGAACTTTTGCGCATTTAGATTGCGGCCTATCCATGGGACTGGCCTGCCTGCACTTACATAATCTGATCGTTGATTGTTCACTTTTCCGCGCTCCGCACTCAAAAATTGACACAGCTAGCAGGTAGCACATTCATCGATATAGATACATGTATAGATACTTATATGTATGTGTCGATATAGCCACTAGCCGTTCCTTAACAGCATTTAATATCTTTTTCTGCTGCGGTCTCGTTCGGCGATCGTCTCCTAACAAACTGAGCTGTCTTCGAATCTCTAAACAACATTTTACTGCAACGATGTCGTCGAGGAAGTCAACGCAGAATTATTCTCATTTTGCGTTTATGTGTCTCTGTATCTGTCTCTTCGCACAGCTATTTTCAGTTTTCAGAGTTCCTTTTTCTTCCATACGGATTTTCTAAAATCTTGCTGACTATGTGAGTGTTTGTGTTTGTCTGTCGGTGCCAATGTTTTAAATAATTTTTTGTTGTTAAACATTTTTGCGTGCGTTTCTGTGTTGGCGGCGTTCTACGTGTTCTGTGTTTGTTAAATAATTTATTTGTTTTATTGCGTTCGTTGCTCAGCTTGTCGATGTTCTTCCTGTATTTTGTTATTTTCTTTGGCTCAACGGCTTATTTATTTGCATTTTAAATTTTCGTACGATTCGTTGAAATGTGTCTACCAAGTAGTTGAAGCAGTAGTATAACTTTTTATGAATGGTTTATATATTTACAAAATTTTACTTGAACTTAATTCTATATACTGTTGAACAAAATCGAATTCAAATGCTTTCGCAGCTTTTTGACTGCAAATGAAAATACTTGATGCTTCTCAACCATCTGCTTCTGCGGGCCTTCTGCGCAGATTTGTTTAGAGCCTTTCCGATTTACAGTCCCAGTCCGTACTTATGGTTATCTGTTTAAAAGAAAATGTGAAAACCTCTGTCAAATTGCGTGGCAGATCTGCAAGATAAGTTGAAGTTTACCAAAATATCTATGCAAATCAAACTCCAGAGCTTCAGACTGTGAGTGGAAAATTTGTGGAATTGTGACCATATGTTGGAAGATTTTGACAATACACGAATTAATGGAAACCAGTAGCTAAGTTTATACGAATTATACAGTACCTGGCCGGAATGTCGCGTTCGTTGTTGAACAAAAAACAACAAAATTGTATCAATTTAATATACTTGTATATTGTATTTGTAAGAAAGCGACAATTTCCACATTCTGAACTGTAGCTACAAATTTTTTGCATACACATTAAATCGATCTGACTTCAAATACAATTATTTGCAATCTGTTACTGACTCTACAAATTTTGAAATATCGTAAATTGGTTGGTAAATCATTTCAAGGTTTTCGAAAAAAAATGCATCGTTTTTTTCCAACTAAATGGCTTATAGTATCCTAAATCCTTTTAATAAATCCTTTTAATCCTAAATCATCTAAATCATTTTAATACGTTTGGCAAAATCAAACTTTACTCACGCCAAAATGCATTCTGTATAAGTATATCTATATACGTGTATACGACGAGTATTATAATTAATAAAATAATATACTATATTGCTAGTATTTTACCTCTTCAGCGCAACATCTAGAGGAAATATCAAAGTGTTCTTTTTTTGAATAACATTTCCTTTTAAAAGCATTGCAGTCTTCCGTTTATATAGTATCTATTGTTGTTGGCTTTTCAATTTTATTTTGTAGGCATATAGAACACACGATTTAATTTCAGGCTCGCAGATCATTAGATCATTACCAATTCCTGCCTCATCTAACCTTTCCTATGTGCAGGCAGGATTAGTAATGATCCCACTACACATTAATGAATTTATAATTGCAGACAGCCCGTACTGTAATTTTATAGGTGAGTTGGCACAGGTCGCTTCGGCCTATTTATTTATCTAATTTGTACAAATAAGGAACACTGAGAATAGTATAAAGAATTGGGAAGAACGGAAGTTTTCGTGCACATAACATTCGATAATGAGCGTGGAGGATAATGTCCCTCTTCATGGGCTTAAGAGTTCTAATATGTTCTGAGACTCAAACGGACATTTATGAACTAACACAAATCATTACCAGCTTTCCAACTAAATCGAGCCAACTTTTAGAGAAATGAGTCGAGCTATTGCTGAAAACCTTTAATTTATTTAGTAATTGTAAGCTATCGGCTCTATATCCATCTCTCACATTAATGAAAATCATTCGCCCACACTTACGTGTATATACGAGTATACATCCGAACCGTTTTGCATTCCATATCCCTGGGTTCTACACAACCTCTATCAAACTCTATATGTTTTATCAGACGTGCGGCTGAGTGACTGAAAATTAAGTTGCTTGATGCACTTTAGATTAAAATGCACTTTAAAGCCGTTACGACACATCGGTGTCTGTAATTAATGCTGAAAAATATTGCCAGAGGTAATGTTGGACCTCAGTTTCTTTTTTAAGTTCAGCGTATTACATTATGGTCGGATTAGCAGCGCTACTACTTTTAATAACCCCAATCCAGGGTCTTTTGACGGCCGATGTGGTGTCGAGTGAGGAGTACTCATTGACTTGGTTGTATGGTTTGATCAAAAAAATGCACGAGGAGCAACCGATTTCGAGCTTGTTGCTTATGCAACGAAGACATCATGCGGATTGCCTGCTGCGGGATTTTAATATGCCGGACTGGCCAGCACTCCGTCTTGACGAGCACGGCAGACTTGATGTGCAGATACTATTCGACCAGGAATTTCTGGCGGTGGTTTGTATGCGAGATTATTCGGAGCCCATCGAGCTGACCGCGTTGGCTTACAATCTGAATCGCATGCGAGAGACTCGCATTATTGTTTGGCTGCAGGCTGAAACCGAGGGGGAAGCTTTCAATGGTATTTCGAAAAAGGCTGGGGAGCTACATTTTGTAAACCTCTTGCTGTGCCACGCAGCACCCACTGGCTTATTGAAGGTCTATCGGCTTCTGCCATTTCCGTTCCCGCGCTTTGAACCCATTTATAATGTGGATGTGGGACCCTATTTTCGCAGATCCTGGACAAATTTCGGTGGAATAACTGCACGCGCACTTCCAGATCAGATATCCCCAGGTACCTTTATCGTAACTGATTGGCGCACTGGCGACCAGCGCTTGAGTGGCCGTGTTGGAAAATTTGTAACCACATTCACCAAAGGACGAAACATTACCTTAAAATATACCCAGCCCGTGGAGGCTGGAAAAGTGATTCTCCCAACTACACTAGAAAATATGACGCATCATGGAGAGCTAGATCTACCGCTAAGTGTTAAATTTCGTGGCACATCAAGGCCAAGGCATGGCATTGAATCATCTGAACTTGTTGGCTTGGTTAACTGGATCGTAATCGTGCCCTGTAGACAGCTGTTGGATATTCATGGTGTCTACAATATGTTATTGGAGGAAAATTGGGTTTTCTTCATACTGGGAACATACGTAGCCTTTGCAATAATCGAGACTTTAATAGCGGCAGCGGAGTATTATCTGTACCATCAAAGACGCAGATTTGATTGCTACGGTCTTTTTGTGAATCTACGGGTATTCTGTGGCCTACTTGGCTTCGTTATGCCAATTCAAAGCTCGAAGTGTGTGGCCACGCGCCAATTAATTATGATTATTTGTGTATTTGGTTTGGTCTTCAGTAATTTCTTTAGCGCCAAGCTCAGCACCTTGATGACAATGTTTCCCCAGTCCAGTGAGATAAATACATTCGAAGACTTGGAGGCAGCACAAATTCCTGTTATATTGGACCCACTTACTCATGGAAAGGTTGTACAAGAAATTGATGCCGAGTTTTTTACAAAAAACCTGACGAATACCCATTTTTTGCCATACGATAAGAGAATGGAATTAATGTTATCACTTAATAATAGTAATGCCTATGAAATATTTTCAAATTCTTGGATGGCTCTAAATGTATATCAAAAATACTGTGGCTTAAAAGTATTTTGCAGAAAGCCTGCACTTCATTTTGCCAATGGTTTGCCGTACGGCTTCTTTTTACCAGAGAATTCCATTTACAAGGCCGCCATAGATGATTACATACATACGTGTCAAAGCATGGGCTTATTGGACAAGTGGCAGTCGGAGTCCTTCATTGACTTAATGCATCATTCTACGCAATCTCAAAAAAATGCTATGATTGCCACTAACGATTTTCAGCCTCTATGCTTTCGCGACTTGATGTGGTTGTGGAAATTACTCCTTCTGTGCTATGCCGCTGCTATTCTGGTATTTGTGGTCGAGTACTGTGTGGGCTACTGGCAAAAAGGGGGCTCCATGAATGTCGTGGTAGTGGTCTAGTTGCTTAAAGCTCGATTTTGAAGCGTCCTATAAAATATTTCAGCACAATGGCACGTATTTTACATCAGCAATCAAGAAGTGGAAAAGCTAAATAATACTACTAGTTCGAGTTATCACATTTTGCACTTAAAAGCATGTCGATCTAATTAAAACAATACATATTTTAACAAGTATTGTAAAGCAACCATGAAGAAAAAAATATATACAAATATTATTCACCAAATTTCGGCTTACTGGGGGAAGAGAGGGGAGGTGGAATATATAACAGCCAGAAGGAGGCGTGGCAGACCCCACAAAGTATATATATTCTTGATCAGTATGACAAGACTGTTGTTGGTAGCCACAAAAGAACCCTCGCATGTCTGCTGTGTGTGTGGCCGGACTAATGAACATGACGGTTCGGTGCATGTGCTTGAGGGTTTCGTGGCTATGACGGCGGTTCGATATGGTTTTGATATTAGAAATTAAATGCATTAAAAATATATATCAAGCACCAACACAAGCACCAGCTGCGTTACCATTCGTCTAGTATGCGAGGTTTGTTTGAGTCAAGGTGAAATAGAATTTATATAAATGTAGTCCGGCTTGGTTTTAATTAGTGAGATGGCAAAAATCAATTTATTTTACTCTTGTAAAGAGTAAAGTCCGCAGAAGTTTTCACATAATTTCGTAATAAAATTCAAATGAAAATAGTTTTGCAAAATCACTTCCAGTTCAGAAGCCCCCCAGTGTGAAATAAATATACAAGATGTATAGATGCTGTCGGGATAAGACTCGATTGCCGATAACTGGTTATTGAGCACGGACTGTAGGGAGTGATAATTAAATGTTGTTTACAAAAATGAATTTAATTTAACAACATTATATCTGTTTCACGTTCAAATGTATAGAAAGCGTAAACATTTTATTATGGCTAGTGGCTTTTAATTTATAGCAATAAAACCAAATGACTTTCACAAATCATTTTATCAAATTATTTTTAGTAATATTATATTTACCATTTGAGCTCCAATATGTTTAACACTATTTGCAGGAAAATAAGATTCTTAGTGCCTCCTCAATTTCAATTTCTATAATAAACTGTAAATCCAAAAAATTTACGAGCCTACAAATGTATATCTCATCAACTTTCGACTTTTCGAAAACTTTACTCTTCTCAGCTTTTCATATAATTCATAACAATTTAATAATAATTCATAATAGTTTGCGACTCAGAAGTTATTTAGCAGAAGGTATAATACTTAATTGTATCTGCAAATCACATTGTATGTATGTACAAGTAAGCTGACATTGGGAAGATTAAGACCATATTCATAATCTCTTTGCATTTATTTTTCAAACCTAAATCGGTAGCAATTAAGTTTAAGACGAAGTTTCTTTTCATATTGTCACAGCAACTAGTTTTTCCTATCATGGAGACTTCATTGCATGCATTCACTGCATGAACAGTACTTGCAACATATGTGTGTACTTTAACATTCCGTTCATTGTTTGCCAATCAAATTTATTGACGGCTCACACTGCGTATACGCAATACAACGATTATAAGACATCAAAGACTGCTCAGTTCAATTACTTGGCCCATTCTCGTAACAACAAGAACGCCCTCATAATTTGGTATCAACAAAAAAAAAAATGTGCAAAACGATTATGGCCACTAATAACAATACAAAATCCATTAAAATATCTCGGCCATAGCTAAAAAAAAGAAATAGATACATTGGAATATATTGGGGAGCAGGTGCCACCTGTGGTTTCTGTGGTGCGAGCAAGGAGTCGTTTATAACTAGGCCCCACCTAATTTGCTTGCACAACGTGTGGTATGAGTAATAACAACGGCGAGGAGTGTGTTCTGGTGGGAGGGTACCGCATATTAGTATGCGATAATTATAACTATAAGCCGTAATGAATAACAATTAGGGCTAAAAATAAATGGCGCTAGTACGGATTTGCATGAAGTGGAGAGGCAGCGAAGCACCGTCCCACATTGTTTTGATAAGGCGCCGGCCCAATCCTGATGCTGCCGCTGCCGCTGTTGCTGCTGACCTTGCCAGTTGACGTCGACTGCGGCGTGGGCGCAGCAGCAAAGGCGGCAGCAGCATGCATTGACGCAACGCTTTTCACATTATCCATATTCTTCAATATTCAGGCTTACTTTGTCTTGGGCACACAGTGCGTATAAGCAATATTGTTGTACACAGTTGCATTTCTCAGTCTATTTTAAGAGCACTGCACTTATCCATAGGGTTTGTAAATATGTCACTGCAGCAGAAGAAATACATATACTCGTAATTATGAGTATCGCCAGCCCCGTTGTTTTGGGCATCTTCAAGTGGCTGTCGCTCGGCTGTTGCGTATGCCCTGGGAGCCACACACAGACACACAGACACACACACACACAGACTTAGAGACACAAACACTCAGACACTCAGACATACACGCGACATACGCGCACGATTTTTATTTTTATAGAACGTCTTTCGGAACTATTTTTAAACAGTTTTCTTGCTTTCGACATGTTTATTGCCTATATTCGCTTTTTCAGTAGCAAAATCTTTGCAAATTTTAGGGTAAAAAAGTGTTTATTGATTATTTACTGAATGCCTTGAACTTTTTTCTTTTGTATTGTTAGATCGATTCATGAATTCCCCCTTGAATTCAGATTTTGTTTATTTTTAGAAGCACTTCAATTGGTTTTCGTTTTGCATATTTGTGGCATTTGGTATTGAACTTTTGCGCATTTAGATTGCGGCCTATCCATGGGACTGGCCTGCCTGCACTTACATAATCTGATCGTTGATTGTTCACTTTTCCGCGCTCCGCACTCAAAAATTGACACAGCTAGCAGGTAGCACATTCATCGATATAGATACATGTATAGATACTTATATGTATGTGTCGATATAGCCACTAGCCGTTCCTTAACAGCATTTAATATCTTTTTCTGCTGCGGTCTCGTTCGGCGATCGTCTCCTAACAAACTGAGCTGTCTTCGAATCTCTAAACAACATTTTACTGCAACGATGTCGTCGAGGAAGTCAACGCAGAATTATTCTCATTTTGCGTTTATGTGTCTCTGTATCTGTCTCTTCGCACAGCTATTTTCAGTTTTCAGAGTTCCTTTTTCTTCCATACGGATTTTCTAAAATCTTGCTGACTATGTGAGTGTTTGTGTTTGTCTGTCGGTGCCAATGTTTTAAATAATTTTTTGTTGTTAAACATTTTTGCGTGCGTTTCTGTGTTGGCGGCGTTCTACGTGTTCTGTGTTTGTTAAATAATTTATTTGTTTTATTGCGTTCGTTGCTCAGCTTGTCGATGTTCTTCCTGTATTTTGTTATTTTCTTTGGCTCAACGGCTTATTTATTTGCATTTTAAATTTTCGTACGATTCGTTGAAATGTGTCTACCAAGTAGTTGAAGCAGTAGTATAACTTTTTATGAATGGTTTATATATTTACAAAATTTTACTTGAACTTAATTCTATATACTGTTGAACAAAATCGAATTCAAATGCTTTCGCAGCTTTTTGACTGCAAATGAAAATACTTGATGCTTCTCAACCATCTGCTTCTGCGGGCCTTCTGCGCAGATTTGTTTAGAGCCTTTCCGATTTACAGTCCCAGTCCGTACTTATGGTTATCTGTTTAAAAGAAAATGTGAAAACCTCTGTCAAATTGCGTGGCAGATCTGCAAGATAAGTTGAAGTTTACCAAAATATCTATGCAAATCAAACTCCAGAGCTTCAGACTGTGAGTGGAAAATTTGTGGAATTGTGACCATATGTTGGAAGATTTTGACAATACACGAATTAATGGAAACCAGTAGCTAAGTTTATACGAATTATACAGTACCTGGCCGGAATGTCGCGTTCGTTGTTGAACAAAAAACAACAAAATTGTATCAATTTAATATACTTGTATATTGTATTTGTAAGAAAGCGACAATTTCCACATTCTGAACTGTAGCTACAAATTTTTTGCATACACATTAAATCGATCTGACTTCAAATACAATTATTTGCAATCTGTTACTGACTCTACAAATTTTGAAATATCGTAAATTGGTTGGTAAATCATTTCAAGGTTTTCGAAAAAAAATGCATCGTTTTTTTCCAACTAAATGGCTTATAGTATCCTAAATCCTTTTAATAAATCCTTTTAATCCTAAATCATCTAAATCATTTTAATACGTTTGGCAAAATCAAACTTTACTCACGCCAAAATGCATTCTGTATAAGTATATCTATATACGTGTATACGACGAGTATTATAATTAATAAAATAATATACTATATTGCTAGTATTTTACCTCTTCAGCGCAACATCTAGAGGAAATATCAAAGTGTTCTTTTTTTGAATAACATTTCCTTTTAAAAGCATTGCAGTCTTCCGTTTATATAGTATCTATTGTTGTTGGCTTTTCAATTTTATTTTGTAGGCATATAGAACACACGATTTAATTTCAGGCTCGCAGATCATTAGATCATTACCAATTCCTGCCTCATCTAACCTTTCCTATGTGCAGGCAGGATTAGTAATGATCCCACTACACATTAATGAATTTATAATTGCAGACAGCCCGTACTGTAATTTTATAGGTGAGTTGGCACAGGTCGCTTCGGCCTATTTATTTATCTAATTTGTACAAATAAGGAACACTGAGAATAGTATAAAGAATTGGGAAGAACGGAAGTTTTCGTGCACATAACATTCGATAATGAGCGTGGAGGATAATGTCCCTCTTCATGGGCTTAAGAGTTCTAATATGTTCTGAGACTCAAACGGACATTTATGAACTAACACAAATCATTACCAGCTTTCCAACTAAATCGAGCCAACTTTTAGAGAAATGAGTCGAGCTATTGCTGAAAACCTTTAATTTATTTAGTAATTGTAAGCTATCGGCTCTATATCCATCTCTCACATTAATGAAAATCATTCGCCCACACTTACGTGTATATACGAGTATACATCCGAACCGTTTTGCATTCCATATCCCTGGGTTCTACACAACCTCTATCAAACTCTATATGTTTTATCAGACGTGCGGCTGAGTGACTGAAAATTAAGTTGCTTGATGCACTTTAGATTAAAATGCACTTTAAAGCCGTTACGACACATCGGTGTCTGTAATTAATGCTGAAAAATATTGCCAGAGGTAATGTTGGACCTCAGTTTCTTTTTTAAGTTCAGCGTATTACATTATGGTCGGATTAGCAGCGCTACTACTTTTAATAACCCCAATCCAGGGTCTTTTGACGGCCGATGTGGTGTCGAGTGAGGAGTACTCATTGACTTGGTTGTATGGTTTGATCAAAAAAATGCACGAGGAGCAACCGATTTCGAGCTTGTTGCTTATGCAACGAAGACATCATGCGGATTGCCTGCTGCGGGATTTTAATATGCCGGACTGGCCAGCACTCCGTCTTGACGAGCACGGCAGACTTGATGTGCAGATACTATTCGACCAGGAATTTCTGGCGGTGGTTTGTATGCGAGATTATTCGGAGCCCATCGAGCTGACCGCGTTGGCTTACAATCTGAATCGCATGCGAGAGACTCGCATTATTGTTTGGCTGCAGGCTGAAACCGAGGGGGAAGCTTTCAATGGTATTTCGAAAAAGGCTGGGGAGCTACATTTTGTAAACCTCTTGCTGTGCCACGCAGCACCCACTGGCTTATTGAAGGTCTATCGGCTTCTGCCATTTCCGTTCCCGCGCTTTGAACCCATTTATAATGTGGATGTGGGACCCTATTTTCGCAGATCCTGGACAAATTTCGGTGGAATAACTGCACGCGCACTTCCAGATCAGATATCCCCAGGTACCTTTATCGTAACTGATTGGCGCACTGGCGACCAGCGCTTGAGTGGCCGTGTTGGAAAATTTGTAACCACATTCACCAAAGGACGAAACATTACCTTAAAATATACCCAGCCCGTGGAGGCTGGAAAAGTGATTCTCCCAACTACACTAGAAAATATGACGCATCATGGAGAGCTAGATCTACCGCTAAGTGTTAAATTTCGTGGCACATCAAGGCCAAGGCATGGCATTGAATCATCTGAACTTGTTGGCTTGGTTAACTGGATCGTAATCGTGCCCTGTAGACAGCTGTTGGATATTCATGGTGTCTACAATATGTTATTGGAGGAAAATTGGGGTTTCTTCATACTGGGAACATACGTAGCCTTTGCAATAATCGAGACTTTAATAGCGGCAGCGGAGTATTATCTGTGGCATCAAAGACGCAGATTTGATTGCTACGGTCTTTTTGTGAATCTACGGGTATTCTGTGGCCTACTTGGCTTCGTTATGCCAATTCAAAGCTCGAAGTGTGTGGCCACGCGCCAATTAATTATGATTATTTGTGTATTTGGTTTGGTCTTCAGTAATTTCTTTAGCGCCAAGCTCAGCACCTTGATGACAATGTTTCCCCAGTCCAGTGAGATAAATACATTCGAAGACTTGGAGGCAGCACAAATTCCTGTTATATTGGACCCACTTACTCATGGAAAGGTTGTACAAGAAATTGATGCCGAGTTTTTTACAAAAAACCTGACGAATACCCATTTTTTGCCATACGATAAGAGAATGGAATTAATGTTATCACTTAATAATAGTAATGCCTATGAAATATTTTCAAATTCTTGGATGGCTCTAAATGTATATCAAAAATACTGTGGCTTAAAAGTATTTTGCAGAAAGCCTGCACTTCATTTTGCCAATGGTTTGCCGTACGGCTTCTTTTTACCAGAGAATTCCATTTACAAGGCCGCCATAGATGATTACATACATACGTGTCAAAGCATGGGCTTATTGGACAAGTGGCAGTCGGAGTCCTTCATTGACTTAATGCATCATTCTACGCAATCTCAAAAAAATGCTATGATTGCCACTAACGATTTTCAGCCTCTATGCTTTCGCGACTTGATGTGGTTGTGGAAATTACTCCTTCTGTGCTATGCCGCTGCTATTCTGGTATTTGTGGTCGAGTACTGTGTGGGCTACTGGCAAAAAGGGGGCTCCATGAATGTCGTGGTAGTGGTCTAGTTGCTTAAAGCTCGATTTTGAAGCGTCCTATAAAATATTTCAGCACAATGGCACGTATTTTACATCAGCAATCAAGAAGTGGAAAAGCTAAATAATACTACTAGTTCGAGTTATCACATTTTGCACTTAAAAGCATGTCGATCTAATTAAAACAATACATATTTTAACAAGTATTGTAAAGCAACCATGAAGAAAAAAATATATACAAATATTATTCACCAAATTTCGGCTTACTGGGGGAAGAGAGGGGAGGTGGAATATATAACAGCCAGAAGGAGGCGTGGCAGACCCCACAAAGTATATATATTCTTGATCAGTATGACAAGACTGTTGTTGGTAGCCACAAAAGAACCCTCGCATGTCTGCTGTGTGTGTGGCCGGACTAATGAACATGACGGTTCGGTGCATGTGCTTGAGGGTTTCGTGGCTATGACGGCGGTTCGATATGGTTTTGATATTAGAAATTAAATGCATTAAAAATATATATCAAGCACCAACACAAGCACCAGCTGCGTTACCATTCGTCTAGTATGCGAGGTTTGTTTGAGTCAAGGTGAAATAGAATTTATATAAATGTAGTCCGGCTTGGTTTTAATTAGTGAGATGGCAAAAATCAATTTATTTTACTCTTGTAAAGAGTAAAGTCCGCAGAAGTTTTCACATAATTTCGTAATAAAATTCAAATGAAAATAGTTTTGCAAAATCACTTCCAGTTCAGAAGCCCCCCAGTGTGAAATAAATATACAAGATGTATAGATGCTGTCGGGATAAGACTCGATTGCCGATAACTGGTTATTGAGCACGGACTGTAGGGAGTGATAATTAAATGTTGTTTACAAAAATGAATTTAATTTAACAACATTATATCTGTTTCACGTTCAAATGTATAGAAAGCGTAAACATTTTATTATGGCTAGTGGCTTTTAATTTATAGCAATAAAACCAAATGACTTTCACAAATCATTTTATCAAATTATTTTTAGTAATATTATATTTACCATTTGAGCTCCAATATGTTTAACACTATTTGCAGGAAAATAAGATTCTTAGTGCCTCCTCAATTTCAATTTCTATAATAAACTGTAAATCCAAAAAATTTACGAGCCTACAAATGTATATCTCATCAACTTTCGACTTTTCGAAAACTTTACTCTTCTCAGCTTTTCATATAATTCATAACAATTTAATAATAATTCATAATAGTTTGCGACTCAGAAGTTATTTAGCAGAAGGTATAATACTTAATTGTATCTGCAAATCACATTGTATGTATGTACAAGTAAGCTGACATTGGGAAGATTAAGACCATATTCATAATCTCTTTGCATTTATTTTTCAAACCTAAATCGGTAGCAATTAAGTTTAAGACGAAGTTTCTTTTCATATTGTCACAGCAACTAGTTTTTCCTATCATGGAGACTTCATTGCATGCATTCACTGCATGAACAGTACTTGCAACATATGTGTGTACTTTAACATTCCGTTCATTGTTTGCCAATCAAATTTATTGACGGCTCACACTGCGTATACGCAATACAACGAGACATCAAAGACTGCTCAGTTCAATTACTTGGCCCATTCTCGTAACAACAAGAACGCCCTCATAATTTGGTATCAACAAAAAAAAAATGTGCAAAACGATTATGGCCACTAATAACAATACAAAATCCATTAAAATATCTCGGCCATAGCTAAAAAAAAGAAATAGATACATTGGAATATATTGGGGAGCAGGTGCCACCTGTGGTTTCTGTGGTGCGAGCAAGGAGTCGTTTATAACTAGGCCCCACCTAATTTGCTTGCACAACGTGTGGTATGAGTAATAACAACGGCGAGGAGTGTGTTCTGGTGGGAGGGTACCGCATATATTAGTATGCGATAATTATAACTATAAGCCGTAATGAATAACAATTAGGGCTAAAAATAAATGGCGCTAGTACGGATTTGCATGAAGTGGAGAGGCAGCGAAGCACCGTCCCACATTGTTTTGATAAGGCGCCGGCCCAATCCTGATGCTGCCGCTGCCGCTGTCGCTGCTGACCTTGCCAGTTGACGTCGACTGCGGCGTGGGCGCAGCAGAAATGGCGGCAGCAGCATGCATTGACGCAACGCTTTTCACACCGTGCGGCCAAAGAGAGAGCAGCGAGAAAAGAACCGAGTAGAATGTTAAAGGCACACGAGCCGACTATTACATACCCTGGACTCTGTACTATTATATACCTGTACCTGAAAGCAGCCATAATTTGATTATTTGAAAATCTTTAAATTCCAAATTGATTTGCAATATATCCACAAATTTTTTGTACAATTGTGAAAGCAATATAAAAGTGTAGACATGTGCTAGCAGATCAGAGTGGCTTTCTACTGCCTGTAACACACTGTTGCCCACACCTCATATACTCTGCGACCCTTCGCTTACAGGGTACAATAAAAAATCAATGCCTGCGTCAAGACTTGACTCTCTCTCTCTCTCTCTCTCTCTCTCTTTTCCATTCTCTCGCTCTCAGCTGTTTGGTGCGCTCGGCTCGCATCGTAAACAATGGCGTCTACAAATGCCGGCTGTGGTTTTTGTTGTTTGTGTGAAAAAGCTCAGAAAGCTTCGCCTCGTGCTTTTATAGCATGCGGTAGCTGTGTGAGTGTGTGTGTGTGTGTGCTTGCGTTTGTTTGGAGGGCTGGCTTGCGTTGTAAGCCAACCAAAATGAAAATGAAATTTTGCTGCATTTGCGCAGCGCCCGTTGCAGGAAGTGAACGCATGTGAAAAATATACATATACATATATAGTATATAAATATATGTATATATGATTCGTGCTGCGTGCGCGAAAAGTGAAAATAGTTAGCAGAAATTTTCATGGGCTTGGCAGATGTTGCGTGCGCATAAAGGGCGATATTTTCATTTGATGAACTCCTTTTTAGTGCAAAATTGCTAAAAGTTTAACTAATAGTTTGAATTCAATATAAATTTGCGTGCGCGTTTTAAAATATAAAAGTGCCTTTAGTTTTAATGAAGTCGAAAAGGAATCCAAATAAAACTCATAACTTGTGAAATAGAAAATTGTTAAAACAATAACCAACCAACTGAATTGAACAATACTATAGTGGAAAACTGTTGTTTTCACCTAAAATTAATAAGAAACTACATGGACAATATAAATAGCTTTATATCTACATACAGAAATGTTCATTTTTTACGCGACTGCGGAGAAATAAATGCGAAATAAAAAACTTCCTAAAAGGGGCAGAAAAAATGCAACCCAACCCAGCCTCAACCGCAAGTCAATGTCACATTGGCTCCTTCGTCTGCGTCTCCACTAGCGTCTCTGCTCCAGTACATGCCACAGCGGTGGATTAAAATGCGCCAAAACTACAACAACAACAATAACAGCAAACAGCTGAGACTGCCGCAGCGCAGCAGCCGCACAACAAACTTATGAAAAATCAATACAACAGCAGGCAAAGCCGCAAAAACGTCAACAGTCGACACTGACACAGACAGGGCTGTGCACGCGCGCTCCTCCACGCCCACTTTTTAACGCCTCTATTGTTGTTTATGTGTCTGCTTAAAATAGCAAAAAATTATGCACTAAAAAGCCGCCTCCATATGTTGCAGAACGGAATCGGAAACAGAAAGAAATAAAAACTGAAAGCCAATAATAACAATCTACAAGCCCACTAACCATCCCAACTAACTAAGCAACTAACCGTACCGTAATAAACGATAATGGTGGATGCCAAACCTCCGCCCACACCAGGCACGCCCCCCGTCGCCGCCGCAGCGACCGCCTTCGCCGGCGAACGTTCCAAAATCAAACTGTTCATGGAACGTACCCCCAGCATTGGTGCCCTCAAGTCAAAGTTTTTAACCGTGCTAGGCAATAGCAATGAGCTACTCAATGGCATATCAAATAAGGTAGGAGTTTGCAATTAGTGATGGGTGCGTGACTGTAATCGGAAGCACATCACTTCAATATGTACTTATTAGGCATACATCCTCTATGTTAAGGCAACTAGGTAGCTAAAGTAATAAAGTGAAAAGAGTGCGCTCACAAGTTTGTCTGAAGAGCTATCTGACAATAATTATTACCAATAAGGCAACTGCTTGAACAGTTGTCAATCCCCACCTTAAGCGCGTGCTTTCGCAGTGGGGTTTTCCTAACCAAGAAAATCAACGAGTTAATGGTTATAACAATAATTCTAAATTTTACCTTTTAATTGTTAACTGTACTTCTTAAAGCAGCTATAGTGCTAATTGTTGTCTAGTTTGTTCAGCATACAATGTTTTGCTCTTCATTGTCTGTAACAGCAGTCTTTTCCATATGGAAATGCGTGAAAAGTTCTTAATTTGATGGAAAGTAGATAATTTTATTGTGTCCAATTATCATTACATCAAGTTCCTGAGGTTCATCCACGTAAATATTGAAAAATCAACTGAATATAAACGACTTAGCCAAGCTTTCTTTCAGACACTGATCAAATATTATTTGGGGCTTTGAAATGTTATAGCAACCAATATTATCGTAAAACGCATTAGAATTCTTCAATTATTTTTAAGCTAAGCCGCTCAGCTGAGAAATTAAAGGACATATACATCTAATTCTGTTTTTACACGATAGATTGGTTCCTAAAAAAGTCCGTTTAAAAAAAATACATTGATCATAAGCAAAATTAATCGTGCTAAATGGAATAAAGTCGTGTAACCATATATAAAATATTTGATTTTCAAACCGTGCTACATCAAAATCGTGTAAAAAATACCGTGTAAAAACAGAATTAGGTGTAATTACCTTTAAATTAGCAACTCCGAACTGTTATTAAAAAATACATTGATAAAAATGCAATTCAAATATCTAAGAAAATATACAGATTACAGACCCTAACATATTATTAAGAAATTCAGGTGTTGGGCTGCCATCTGTAGTATTGGAATACAGTTTACAAACATTGTTTTGTGTATGCTTTATTATTCGATATTCCGCTTACATTTCGAAAATTCGAAATATCATTCGGTTCACACTTTATTCACATGTTTATCATGTTATCATTTCTTCTAAAATTACAAAAAGCCTACCGTTAGGGTGTTGCCAACTCGATATTGTTTGTTAATTTCGCCCTCACGTTATTATCTGAAGCTCGTCTCTAGCTGGCTACACTGGCAGCCTTGATAATGAATAACAGCAACAAGAACGTTGAAGCATAAGCTGAATTCATTGCATCGCCGCCCTGTTCCCTCCCCCGCACCTTTGCCGCCATCCCCTCCCTGATTGTCTCTGGCTATGCTACGCATTGGCGGCAATGCAAAAGCAACTGACACTTTGATAGTTTGTTGTTCTTGTTGCTTCCGCTTTGTTGTTGCACTCAGTTGACCTTCAATTGATGCCATAGCACCATCACCAGAAACCATTAGCAGCAGCAACAGAAGAAGACGTTGCTGGTTGAGGGGGGTGAGGTGAGGTGGAAAGAAAGGGGAAAGGGGGAGGCGCACGCTCAGCTGTTTCCATTGTACTTGACTGTCAGTTTTTGTTGTTTACATGCTCTCTTTTCGTTTTCCTATAGCAGCGCTGCAAGTTGATGGCCATTGTCTGTCCTTGATTGAAATTAATTATATATATTACCGACATTACATGCCACCTCTAAGCCAGTGCTGATGTCTACATATATGTAGTAGTTCTGTCTGGGTGTGTTAATTATGCATCTTGCAACTGCTTATATCGGTGCTCCGGCTCCTGCTCCTTGTTTTGTTCAATGCCGCCAGACTTGAGCCTTTAAACTTGTAAGAGCAATCAATTAAGTTGAAAGCAACTTGCAGAATGCCAAGTTCTTATGAGAAACATGGGTGTTTGCCCAACACTGGCAAAAATTGGAGTGCAGTTTTTCAAATGTTCAGCACTTGGTGCAAATATAATGTTACAGATTTAGGAATAAATTACCTGCATTTAAAATACATTTAGTTTCGTTTCTTAATTCAAATTTATTTTAACAGAAATTTGTAAAATTTCGTAATTATCTCAATATTTAAAAGATACTTCAATTGAAAGAACCAATGCTATAACAAAAAAAGTTTTGCTATCTAAATAAACCATATTCGAATTTATATTGCAATTCTTGCAACCCTAAAGTAACTTGATGTCAAATTTATTGTCTCTATTGAAACATAGCTGTTAACCTTTTTTTTAATCTTTCAGTTATTAATATGTTATCAATGTTTGTATTTAAAAAAGTGTAATTAAGAGATTTCGATTATTAAAGTGTTGTGTACCAAATGGAGAGTGAATAATTAGTTTAATAATCTAGAGGGAAGGAGCAGCTTTAGTCTTTTGTTTATGGTACTATTGCCAAGTAGATTTATGGCCAGGTTGTTTTTCGTGGTCAGAGATCCGCTTCGTGTATCTGGTGCTGAGTCTAGCTTCTTAATCTCTGATTTCAGGAACACAAATTTTTGATAAATGTCCTTGTTAGTGATGAGCGGATGAGATTTGAGGATTGCTGTCAGTTTTTTGTTTTGTAGATGTGGATGTCATACTTGTATATCCAGACTGGCTAGAGGCTACTCATATAAAGCTTGTTTCTTCATTATAGCATAGATTTTCTGCTCATATTGAGAAATTATTATTTAATTTGGCATCCTTAATCAACAGTTTCCAACACTCGAAAAAGCTTTATTCGTAGTCAACACTGATAACTCTCTCTTAATAGATTTTTGTGCTGTATTTCAGAAAATTGTGATGTTTTTAATAATTTATTAAGGGCTACGGCCAGCGGAAATATTTTCCATATGCATTTCTAGCATAAATTTGCAACTTTTATTAACTTCAATTCGTAAGTGCTGTGTTTTGATTGTGAAAATTGTTACCAATGTAATCCGAAAATCCAACTTCTTTTGGAAGCACTCCCCGAATAAAAATATCTGCAAAATCCTAATCATTTGGATTTTCGAAAGCACCTAATTAAATTTTGAAAACAAGAACCGGGCAGGGATCTATGGATTATGTCCTACGAGCCGAACCTTTATTAAAGTCTTAAGTCTGGGGTTTAAACACAAGCTCAAATATTTTGTAAATAAAGCATTGTTAAAATTGAGATCAAAATATTTAAATATGTTTATGTTTTGCGATATTTTGCATAAAATTGAAATTAAACATATTTAAATCTGTTGACAATTCAGGTTTCTAACCGATCCAAGTAGTTATGATCTATAGCCAGAATAACTTTAAAATACTGAACAACTCTAAAAACTCATACAAAAATAAACGAATGTAAGCAAATGCTTGAATTTCTTCTTCAATGCTTTCGTTATTTTCAGTTGACACTCAGCAGCAGCAGCAGCGATTCGGATTACTGTGACGATGATGACGAGGATTTGCCGAAGTGTGAGTAGTTTTAAGGACAAATAATACCCATAACCAATCCAAAAACTATTCCCTTGCAGTTGATGAGACAATCGACTATACGAAAATCGACTTTGAGGCACGACGAGTGAAGGCGAGACGCGCACATGAGGAAATTATTTCGGGCCGCTATAGGCAACCCAATTTGGCGCCACGTACGGACATCTGTGTAGTCAGGCTCTGAATCATCTATTAAACAGGCTTGTCTCGTTTCCAGGACCTCGACTGGAGCACACTCGTGGTCGCAATGCACACAAAACTGGCGCGGGAGGCGGCGCCTTGCGTGACAGCACTCCCTCGTCCAGCTCGACTTCCAGCAGCGATGACAGCTCATCAATCTCGCTGCCCGGCCAAGTGGGCGCCCGCTCCCACATCAGCAGCACGACGCGTTCCAACTCCATAGAGTCGCGCCACTCGGGCGGCTACGAGCGGCCACGCGCCATAGCCGGCGCTCGACGCAGCGAGCTGGACATGCAGAAGGATACGCAGCGCATACATGAAGTACTGGAGGCACCACCGCACATAGATGTGCAACCGCCCACGGATGGTGAGCGAGGCGGTGGTGGTGGTGGTGGCGGTGGTGCTGGGCTAACACAGCTGCGTCAGCTGTGGGGCAACTCCAGCAACTCGATGCGAGTGCCAACTCGCAGCCGCACCTCCAACAGCAGCACACTGACCAGTCTGCGGGACGAGCCCGACCAACAGCTCGCCAGCCCGAGCATGGACTCCACAGACTGGCGAAACTTTATACGCTCCGAGTCGCAGAACTCGGTGCCATCGTGGGCCTCCTCCATTAGCCTGGACTGTCGTGCTGGCGAGGAGCCCGTCAAGGAGTTCATGAAGCATTTCACGGAGCTGTTGTTCAACAACTGTGCCGCTGTCGATCTTGAGCTGAAGTCAGAGTTTGGCGTCCTGGTGCGTCTGGAAATGGGTCGCCAGTGGTTCACCCGCTTCCTCAGCGATCAGCGCAGCAAGTCGAAGCGTTTGAATGTCCTCACATTTCAAGCTCTGGCCCAGTATTTCGCTCTAACCTTGTTCGAGTGCGGCGAGAGCGAGGATTATGCACCAGCGGCTGTCCTCATGAATTTATGTTTCTTGTTCTACCATGAAGGTAATTTCTTTTGAATTTAAGCTCTTCAAATTGTGGTTCTCAAATGATCCGAATATTCAGACATATAAGCCCAGCGATGTTATTCTTTTCTTACTATATATAAGCAATCCTATTGAATTATTAATTGTAAAATCAATTAACTCGAAACGAGAGGTTTCCCAATTTTGTAGACTGGCTGGAATTTAGACTTTCTTCGCGTAGACCGATAATACCTTTTGATGCTTTCAGTTGAAGTTCCTGGCTCTGAGCCGTATCGTGAATATTTGTTCATCTCGTTGCGCCAGCAGCCCATTTGGCAGCAGTTGCGTTTCTGGAACGCCACTTTCCACGACTCTCTGCAATCGGAGCGCGAACATCGCCATTCGGCACGTCTGCGGCGGCAGGAGCGACGTCAGCAAAAGCAGAAGCAACGGGACGAAGCCACCGGGGCAGGGGCAGGGGCTGGGGCCGGCGATATATCCTTGGCGAAATCGATGCGGAAGCAAGCGGCTGATTCCTCATCCAGCTCCTCACATCACAGCAATGCTGCGGTGCAGACAAACGCCAAGGAAATGCGCAAGCAGAGTAAAGCAAGCATTTGTCCGCAAGCGGCCAAGGATCAAGAGGACATCGCATTTCGGCAATTAGGGTAAGTGGTCCCTGGGGGTCATAAATATAAAATGTGACATTTCCGCTCTTTATTTTTGTGCCGCACAGTGCCTTCACTTGTAATATGCACTCGCTGGGAACTACCCAAGAGTTGAGCCTAGAATTTTTGAAAAAACATGTGGTGGCGCTTAACTTATCGAAAGGTTTGTAGTTAATCGATTATCGATTACACCCATTAATACTTCCATTCTACTCCAATCTCTATAGATAAGGCCAAGCTGATAAGAGACAATATCTATCGCATGTATCATGAGACCGAACTTTGGGGCGCTAAATAAGCCTAAGCCTAAGCACTAACCATACAACATATAGATGCGTCATTTCACACAACGAAAACGTCCCATCGAAATTGTTAGCGACAGCTCCCATAGCTGTTCGGGTATTTGCCGAATGGGAGCTGTCGCACTTCGGCTATGAGCCGACTGGGAGCTGTCGCATTCGTGCTCTCTGTGAGCGAATTTCATTTCATTCGCAGAGAGGCAGTCTACAGAGACGGTCGGTTCACGCCGCTTATGCTCTTTGTATGTGTGCGTGCACATATATACATGTATATGTTTATATGCATTTGTGCATTTGGTCTTTTGCTGTTTGCGAGCAGCAGCTTCAATTTCGTTTTCAGATTTTACCTGCTACATGGGCATCAGAATTTCATACACTGTTGCCATATTTCTGTCGCATTGTATTTTGGGATGCGTATGCAAGTGAAGTTTGTCAGTAGTGTATGGATTTCTCATAACGCCTATAAAAGCACACATACATACAATTACATACATATTTATGTGTGCAAATGTTGTGTTCATATGCAGACACTTCATATATGAACGCATGGCAGTAGCCTTGACATTGTCATGACCTGCCTCAACTTATATTTATGCACAAGCAATTTTATTGATAGACTATTTCTTATTTTTGTTTGACTTGCATATTAATTACAAAATATTTGGTAAAAATGTCAGTTGGCATTTAAATCAAATTAATTCAAAAATATTATTTTAATATAATATATTTAGTTTAAAAATATATTATTTTAAAAATGTCGGTTGGCAATTGGCCGATATTTAATATGAAAATAAGTACATTTAAGGGTCGCAAAATGTGCTAAAATTTGTAAAACAAGTGTAATTAAATAAATAAAAATACATACATGTATATGTTTATATGTATGTATGTACATCTTTTGATAATTTAATATATATTGTTTTTTTTTTAATTCGCCGCTCAAATTTGTTACCGATCTAATATTGTATATGAGCAAACATATTACATCGGTTGAGTTTAATCTCATCATGTCCAAAATGTTGTACATGAAAGTCTTGACATCAACAACAGTATCTGGGAACTGTGCCCCCGATGAAGACCCCGAAGGGTCAAATCAATCATCATCAGAGCTAACATCTTCTGAAGATGATGATTTGATTTTCATTGATGACGAATTAGAATTAGAATTGGCTATAGAAGCAACAGATTTGAATATTCAAGACGCTTTCAATGAGAATGCTTTGCGTTATTTTGCAGGGTATCTCTTGCATAAGCTCTTGAAGAAACACGACTGCAAAGTGTGTTCAAATCTGTTGAAACCGTCCGATGAAGTCCAATGCACTTCCGAGTATTTAATACTAAATAAAAACTTCGGTTACGTTAATAGTAACCTTAAACTTATGATGATTTTTTTACTTTAATTAAAATACACTTTGATGTTTTTAAACGGTATTTCGAGACAAAGTCTCACAGATTCCATTTGAAAAAAAACAATAGTTCAAAAATGCGTATTCATTACATCAAAGTTAGATAAATACGCATGCTGGTTTTCAGAGTCTGGTCCGTGTTATAATCACAGAACTCAATTGCTTAATGAGTTCATTTTGATTTTAATTAGAAAAAATTGTAAATGGATAACAGATGGGATTGCTGGTAGTAAGAACTCCAGGGTAGCTTTAAATAAATTAAAAATAATTAAGCAGTAGAATTTTTTCTTACTTTATGTTTAAATAATAGCAAATATTAAATATTTACATGTTAGTTAATACACTAAATAAGGTAATATTAAGTGGGGAACATGGATTTGACTTAATTTCAAACACTTATAAATAGTAATTAAAATGTTATGCATTTTTGAAATTAAGTCATTTCAAGTCGACTCAAAGGTCCTATTATTTTACGACCCCATTAAAATGTTGATGGCCTCCACGTAGTGTTCTCTGGATACCGATGTAATGTGTTTGCTCATATACAATATTAGATCGGTAACAAATTTGAGCGGCGAATTAAAAAAAAAACAATATATATTAAATTATCAAAAGATGTACATACATACATATAAACATATACATGTATGTATTTTTATTTATTTAATTACACTTGTTTTACAAATTTTAGCACATTTTGCGACCCTTAAATGTACTTATTTTCATATTAAATATCGGCCAATTGCCAACCGACATTTTTAAAATAATATATTTTTAAACTAAATATATTATATTAAAATAATATTTTTGAATTAATTTGATTTAAATGCCAACTGACATTTTTACCAAATATTTTGTAATTAATATGCAAGTCAAACAAAAATAAGAAATAGTCTATCAATAAAATTGCTTGTGCATAAATATAAGTTGAGGCAGGTCATGACAATGTCAAGGCTACTGCCATGCGTTCATATATGAAGTGTCTGCATATGAACACAACATTTGCACACATAAATATGTATGTAATTGTATGTATGTGTGCTTTTATAGGCGTTATGAGAAATCCATACACTACTGACAAACTTCACTTGCATACGCATCCCAAAATACAATGCGACAGAAATATGGCAACAGTGTATGAAATTCTGATGCCCATGTAGCAGGTAAAATCTGAAAACGAAATTGAAGCTGCTGCTCGCAAACAGCAAAAGACCAAATGCACAAATGCATATAAACATATACATGTATATATGTGCACGCACACATACAAAGAGCATAAGCGGCGTGAACCGACCGTCTCTGTAGACTGCCTCTCTGCGAATGAAATGAAATTCGCTCACAGAGAGCACGAATGCGACAGCTCCCAGTCGGCTCATAGCCGAAGTGCGACAGCTCCCATTCGGCAAATACCCGAACAGCTATGGGAGCTGTCGCTAACAATTTCGATGGGACGTTTTCGTTGTGTGAAATGACGCATCTATATGTTGTATGGTTAGTGGCCTAAGCCTAAGGTATTTCTGGTCTCTTATCGTAGTTAATTGTTTCTATTAATCTAGTTCTTTCAGCACCACTACAAACTAACCTAAATCGCGTTTCAAATTTCGTCTTAGCTCAAGCTAACTTTTTGTCTTTAGTAAAAAGGGAAAGAAAACTTAATACTTTATGCAGTTAAAAATGCTGTTTTTAAATCAAATTTTTAATCAACTTGTTGACTAAATTGTAAAAGTAAAATATTGAAAAAAATAAGAATATCAACATAAAAGACAAAAAAAGTGAAGTAAAAAGTTAGCCTACATGAAAATGAATACAATATTTATATCTTTAAATTGTGATAACAATAATATTTTGTGATTACTTTATATAAATATATACTATATATGTATGTATAGAAATCCAAACTAAGACACAACATAACATAATATCGCAGAGGCAAGAACAAATTTCCAAATATAACTGCAGAATATTTAATAATTGTTGTTACCAATAAAGTTAAACACAAAAACATGCAAATAAATAAAGAATTTCTACTTGAAACAAGAACTATATTAAATCTTATTATGCTTCATTTAATTACAATTTGTGATTTTTGATTGTTCAAAATCAGCAACTATTTTAACACCAACACTATTTAGTCAGTAACACAATTTATCCTCGTGGTGTGGTGCTGTGTCCAGGCTAAGGTTGCGAGCGTACTGCAGTTGCTCTCCAACCTTCCTTACATATGTGCTCAGTTGCTGCAAAACTAAATGTAGTGTATAATAAAAAATAGGAGAAGCTGGGAACTTATTGGGTATATCTATTACTCCTAAATGATTTGTAAAGAAATCTTAGACGAAGGTATACCTTCAAATAATGGAAGCAGCAAATAGCAACAAAATTGGAACTAAAATTTTGTTTTAATACCCTGTACTTAAGGGTAAAAGGGTATACTACTTTAGTGCGAATGTATGTAATACACAGAAGGAGGCGTGGCAGACCCCAGAAACTATATAGACTAGTACATACATTCTTGATCAGCTAAACAAGTCGAGTCGAAATAGCCGGCTCCGTCTGTCCTTATGAAGGATTTCAGAAAAAATAAGAGCTAGAATAACTAAATTAAAAACAAGTAAAAAAGCTAAAGTCGGGTGTCCCGACTTTTAAATACTCTGTACATATGTTTACAATAATTATAGAAAATAAAAAAAAATTAAGAAAATAAAAAAAAAAATTTGATCGATTTTACCTCTCTCGGTATTCGAACTCACGTAAAGGGTGTATAATTGCACATTTACATAGCAATTGCGTCTGTGTGAGTGTATGTATGCCTATGCGCATCAATTCGTGTCTGTGTAAGCATTTTCGCAGTCAACCAAACAGCAACATCAACAACAGCCGCGGGCAGCGCTTGAGCAGCGCTGCAGCAGCGCTGCATCAGCAAATATATTTATGGCTATAACTTCTTGTTAAATCGGTCTATAATAATGAAATTTGGCATACGGACACATAATAACTAACTGGGGGTATTTCCAAAATTTTAGTTCGAAATTCCAAGAATTACGGGAGTTACGATTTGCGGGGTAGAGGGGGGAGGGAGGGGAATTCCAAAATATACATTTTCTGCGTATTCACATAAGGCATCTGGGACTAAAATTTGGTGTTCCTAGGTCTTATAGTCTCCGAGATATAGGCGATTATACGAATGGAAAATCGGGAAAACCCCCATAGGGGGGAAGTGGGGGGGAAAATCAAAAAAATAAAACAAACTCGTATAGAATACACACATAACGCATCTTCGTGCAAAATTTGGTGTCTCTATCTCTTATAGTCTCTGAGATCCAGGTGTTCATACGGACGGACAGACGGACAGACGGACAGACGGACAGACGGACAGACAGACAGACAGGGCTAGATCGACTCGTCTCGTCATGCTGATCAAGAATATATATACTTTGTGGGGTCTGCCACGCCTCCTTCTGCCTGTTACATTTTTCAGCTCCCGCAAACCTAATATACTCTTGTACATTTCATGTACAGAGTATAATTAAAAACACAATATTTCCAGCTTTAGAATCGGTCTTTTATTCATTAATTTCGCAACAAAAATGATTTAATCGCTTGCTTAAAGTGAATAAAATGAGTTTTTCATATAAATCTCAGAATGGCTTCAACAACAAATCAAGAAATTGTGTTTATATTGGAATATTTGTTGTAGTTGATCGTTTTAAAGTATCTATTCCTATATCGCCTAAGTTTGCATTACAGTTATGTTTTCAATACTCGTTTTTAAAGTGTTTAATGTGGGTGTGTACATTAAAATGATAATAAGTTTATTCATAATATAATTATGTGTTTTAGCAGTTTTTCAAATGTCAATATAATTGTATTCCGTTTATATACTTTGTGTTTTGGCGACCTTCTTAACAGATGATGGTGATTTGAAAAGCTTAAGCTTTATAAGGTTTATAATTTTTACATTGAAAATGTTTGGGTTTAAAGTTTAACAAAAATGATTATTTATTCTCTTTAGAAGTGGACGTGAAAACAAAGTAAATCATAACAGATATTGAATAATTCTAATTAACTAAATACAAGTGACGAAAATCATCGCATAATTACAGAAATTAATAATGTTTAAATATTAAAATTAAGAACTTATAGCATATAGAACAAGCCTGAAGCTATAACAACAATTGCAAGAGCTGTGGCTTTTGCGGCGCATATTGGTTTTTTGAACTTTTCTATCATTGTTTTTCTTCTCAAGTTTTAACATTTTGGGCAAATCTTTCCTATAATTGCTCTCTTCACTTCTCACTTGATCTCTTTTCTATAAATATATACAACACATTTAACACTTGAATTCGCCTAAGCCCTATTTATGAATTAATCGCCTTGTAGTTGGTAGCTGGTAGTTGGTAGTTAGTTGGTCTCTCGTCTTCTTCACAACTTCCACTTGAACGACGCCATATAACTTGCTATATAAAACATTTATATATAGAGTTAGATTGGTGGTTGTAGTTGCGATCACAAGTTCTTGTAGTGCAGTGTAGTGTAGAGCTCGGTCCTTAGTCGACCATCAGCTGGAAGGTGACGGAGCCCATACGATCGCGCTGCCTGCCGCTATATATGATATTCTTGGCCCAGGCACGACATTCGACCTCCACCAAGGTGTTATTTGGTAAACGACTGAATTGCACAGCAACTATCGGACTCAGATAGCCTGGCTGATTTAGATAGGGATAGTAGAAGGCTGGGAAGCCTTGACGTGGATAGTAAGAAATGCCGTCAAAGTTCTCCTGATCCTTGCCGTAGTGGCCTGTGCACGAAACCCAGATTTGTTGCAGCTAGTAGATGTAGAAAATTCAAATACTTGAAGCTTGTATTATCTTATTAAGCGAACCAATACTGCTTACCTCTAACTGGTTCGTCTCATTGATGCGCTGCTTCAGTGATGAGGGCATGTCATTGGGCAGGTTGGCGGGGCTATCGTAATATTCGGGATTCCAGCCATAGATTTTGTTTAGCTTGAGGAAAACACAAGGCTGGCGCGTCTTATAGCCATAGTTGTTTTCCCTCGAGCAGCCCTTGAGGTCGTTCACATCCACCAAACACACATCGGTAGGCTTGTGGTTCTGATTGAAGTCGCAGTGCTTGACCTTGCGACCCTCCGTATTATTATAATCTATTGAAATGAATTATTAATTAGTTATGCATAGAGCAAATATACATACAAGTATGCATAGGAATAGGAATGTGCTTACCGTCCAGAAAATCATTGATTAACTCAATCCAGTAATCTGATTCTGCGTCTTTGCGGGCATCAAATTGTATAATGCCTCCGCGCTCTGTTTGTTCGCTTAACGGACGGAAACCTAAACCGGGATTTGTGCCTATCAGCGAGCTCTCCAGTTGCCATTTGGGCTTATCATTTTCGATCGTGGACAACAGACCCTGCATGCAGATCGCAAACAGTGCGGCAAGAACAATGTAGAAGATCGTGTAGAAGAAGAATAGTTGACCTGAAATTGTATAGAATTGTTGATTGCTGGTTAGTGGGGTTCAAACAAAGGGGGTGGGATGTGTTCAAAAATGTTTACAACATTACAGAGTTTATTTTTAAGATAAGATAATGATCCAAATTTTAAAATATTTATCCAAATTGCAATAATATCTTGTTACGGCTATGACGCGTTAGGATTTCATCTGGTGATCTAAAGCTCTGCTTTTTCCTAAAAGTTATATAATTGATTTTATGTAACCGTTTGGAAATAACAGTTTTGATAAATTCAGCATAATTTTGGAATCAACCGATTTAGCACAGCCGATTTAAATCGCCCTAGCAAATTCGACGTTATTTAATTAATTATTATAAAAAATAAAATTTGACAAATACAGTTCGATATGTTAAATCAGGTTTATTGTATTTTGACCATTTCATTACTTAGATATATAAATAAAATGAAAGTTTGACGTGCGCATAACAATTATAACCGATCCAAAATTGAATCATTTAACTAACCGATTCAGAACAATCAATTGAATTGAATGTATCAGACTTTAATTAGGAGGTTAGACATAATTGATTCAATCGAGTAATCGAATCGATACAATCCGTTCAGCATAATACATTTCTCAGTTCCATAAAACTGTTCCCATTTATGGCATTCTCTTCAAGCTACCGATTCGAGGTAACTGAAATACACTTAAATCATATGGATATGGACTGATGTTCAATATGTGGCAGGCCGGTATTCCTGCTCATATAACATTTACGAATCGACAATTCACATTTAAGTGAAAATATAAAATATTAGCACCCGTTAACACCAAAATATTTTAAGCTTGGTTTCAAAAATGTACCATTCGAATTTTTGAAGAGTTAGTCGAAACAATTATGCGACAGAATCAAAAATAGGCGAGCTAAACACATTCGAATAATTTTACATACGTCTGCATTACATTGTACTACAAGTATGCACAAGTTTGAATTGCGAATGCGAATAATTAAGCATCTATACTTGTACTTGTATGTACGTATGTACGTATGTATGTATAGTCGGTCCAATGTTTACGTTTACGCAAATTCAAATAGACTTTTGTTGGGCTTTTTTATGCAATATACTTGTAGTCTCGTACGGCCACCGCGCGTTAATCGCAAAACGCGCCAAACGTTAAATGCAGTCAATAGAAATAAACAAATAGAGGACTGTGATGCCCGAGAAGTGAGAGAAAAGCAATGTGTATAGACATATACTATATAGATATATATATATATATATATATATATATATATGTATACATATATGTATATGTATTTCATTGTCATTAACATTGACGACTCAGTTAGAATTGTGCTGCGGATCGGCGTCGGCATGCGGCATGCGGCATTCGACATCCACAGCCACAGCCACATCCACATAGGCGATTGGGTCGCCCAAACCCATACACCCGTTGCATAAATAAAGCCAAAGTCGATAAACAGAAGAGAATTACAGACAAGCAGCGGATATGGGGCAGCTCGAATTCCCAAACAAATTAATCGTTTGAATGAATATCGAATACAATGCAACACAGCACAAGCCAACAAATAGGTACAGTAGGCAACAAAAAGCCGCCTTCTCGCGTACATACTTGTATACTACGAGTGTACTAGAATAAACAATCAGCTATCAATAAGTAATCATTCGTTGCATTGCTAACGACTTTTCAAATTTGGGCTTACGGCTGTCTGTTGTGGCACTCATCAATTTTTTAGCCTTAACTTACTTTCGAGTCTGGCTATTTTTGTTGCCAAGCAAGCGGCAAAGCGAATTAATTGCGTTCAAGTACAAGGAAATAAGTTTGGCAATGACCGCCCGCTGACACGCTCATGCCAATAGACTAGACGGAGACCGGCATTGCCGCCCCTTGCTATGACGCCAGCGTTAGTCAATCCCCCAGTCCGTCAGACAGACAGACAGACAGACCCGCCAAGGTGGGCGCCCGCAACGGGCATGTGTAACCAATATCGGAATGTAAGTATGTACTATGATTACATGCAGACCAGCAACATTCTTATGTCTTCGCCACAATTTGTCGCCGGTCCCAAAATAAAGTATGAATGGAAAAAAGCCAGCAAGAAATTATACGTTGTCTTCAGATTTGGCCCAACACAATCGATAAGTTAGTTACTGCCACAGTAATATCTATCAAATACAATTTTTGTGTAAGCTTCTTTCTTAAATATCAACCGAAAAACTTACGATTATACTTGTATGTAGAAGAAGGCAAACAAAATACCAAAATTGTTTACTACTTGTATGTTTGCAGGTATGATCACCTTGATCTCGCAAAGTATTAGAAGTAGAGAAACTAAACTTGGCAGTAGCATTCTTCTTAAGTGTAGGCTTATCAAGTTATTGTTATAATTCTCATATGTTTAATATGTCATACAGATTTTACTGGACTTCGACAATTACTATATTTGAAGTAGGGACACTAAGCTTGACAGTAGCATTTCTCCTAATTGTGGCATCTCTATTAAGCTCCTCATAGATTTTGTTATATGACAAGCTATTATAAAAGTATTTATTTTCGAAGCTTTTAAAAATAAGAGAAATAAAACTTGGCTTAATATTATGTTCGTTTCAATCTAAAAAGTGGAATTTGATTTTTCTAAAAATACATATTCATAGAGATAAATAAAAGTCGAATGAAGACATCGAAAAATCCATGGATGTGTAACGGTTATTAAATGAATGTGTGACAAATATTAAATTGAAATTAATTCAATTTATGAAAGCATCAAATAAATTGTTATCGATGTCAATGACGAAAACTTATAAATCAGAGAGATAGTGCAGCCAAAAAGAAAATTAAGGTAAGCTAGAGAATTTTTCATTTTAAGTATGAATGTTTTCCGGCATTTTAAAATTATTTGAAATATATAATAAATATAATTATTTGACAAATAATTAAAAAAAAAATTGTCCATTTAAAGGTTCAGAATATATTTCAAGTTTTCAATATATATAACAAAATATATAAACAAATTATAAATTATTCAAATATGTTAAGAATCTTTTTCTTTCAGAAGCATGTATTTATTTTTTCGAATGAAGCTGCCTGCCTTTCTCTAATTGGTGCGTGATATCGTTGTAATACTGTACGCATGACAACGTCCAATTTCTGAGTATGGTAGTACGGGTATGTACTATCAAGTTGCTTCGGATCTGTCTGGATTTTTATGGACTCGATATTAAACACACTAGGTGGCACAATAACTTTTTTACGGCATTTACCTAAACACATTTACATAAATTGTGCCGTAAACTACTCGACGATGTGTCAAGTCACAGGTTGCTAAGGTCCTTTGGGAGCTGAATGCGAGCACATTGTATTTATAGAGTAAATAGTAGGGAGGAGTGGAGATCTCCTCGGGTGGTCAGTGCCAAGCAAAAATTGATAAACGTATGAACATGGGAGTTTGTTATGCATAGATGTAAGCATAAGCCGTATTTGGCGAATACTGTTGGCTACTAAGGATACAGATAGACATATATCAGCAATAAATCGAAACAATTTGTGTCAACTAGGAAGTTAAATTTCGTTTGTTCTTTACAGAGGGCAATCGTTAAAGTACATACTTTTACTGATGTACATTACCGGACTGGTCTAATTAGCCGTGATGGGCAAAACGAGTTCTGAGAGAGCTCGCTTGAGGAGACATTTCATTATATGGAAATATTTATGAATCTCTCTCTTGGACTTTCCAACATAATAATTGCCCGGCTTCTGCCGTATAATTACTGAAGTGGTTCTCTCATGCTCTTGATTTAAATGTGATTGAGAAAACAAACGTTAAGTGTTTGAGTCTGGAAGACAGTTTGCAGACATCCAATCATTAAAGGAAGTCATGAAAAGGGCCTGGGGTGAAATATCTTTGCACTATAGCCCAGTGATTAAGGTGTTATAAGGTCCACATTATTAGATCTGTTTTGTTTATGTCTAGTCCAGCTTTAGTTTTTCTACAATTTTCTAACAAGAGGGTTCGCGTCTCAACAGGAATCATTTTAATTGGCCATATGGCTTACAAGATCTAGGGTCCACGTCATCTTTTCTTTTTTGTTGATGTAGATCTGAGCTTTATTCTTTTATTCTTTATATGCATGATTTCCTTCCTGGACTATTTTCAATAAGGATGATTGCATACAACTTTTAATAGTAATATTCAAAATGAAAACTAATATGAAATGTTAAATTTATCTTGGGGGATTAATAGAAGTAAAAATATTATTTGAATTTTTAGTTGAAAAAAAATTGCATTAAAATATTATTATCATTATGATTATTATTATATTATTATGGTTTATTGCTGGAGTATCATCATTTTCAGCAATTTTATACAAAGTGAATTGATTTTTCGTTTCTATTACTTATTATACGGAAAGCAGTGAAGGGGAGGTGGAATTATTTGCATGTGTCCACTGCTTTTTAAATAGTTTCAATATTTATAACAACATTTTATATTTAAAGTTTGTTTTTCACTTTTTGTACATATAGAAAACTTTATTTGAAGGGCAGCTAAATAATAGCCTCTCAAAAGTTGATTGTGTGACAAATATTCAAATTCAAAAATAAACTGCCTGTCACCTATTTGTTTACAAACTTTGTGTTTATATTTAAAAATGCAAGTTTTATTGACCGGCCTGGGAAAGAGGAGCACATAAAATATTAAGAGTGTGGCTGACGACAAAAACAAACTACAAGTATAACAGCACTCACACATATAATATAATTGAACAGCTTAGGTATTAATTTGGTAATAAAATAAATCGATAACCCACTGTTTTCATAAAATTAAGCATTCATTTTTAGTATTTACGTTGCTCTTGCGTTTGCATAATTCGCATAATAACAGACACTATATATGTAAGTATATATGTATATTGTTTTTGGCGATTTTAATGCCACTCAGTTGGCATCCGTTGGCTTGCCTTGAAATACATTCGGACTGCTCATAACCGAAAATAAACATAAA